CCAATCTGTGTTCGGTATCTAAGTTTTTTGTTCGTTTTGTTTTGTTTCTAAGATTCCACATGTAAGTGGAATATAGAAATTGGGTATTTAACAATATTAATTCTTCTAGTTCATTAGCATGGAATATCTATTTATGTCTTCATTTTCTTTTATTAATGTCTTATAGTTTTCAGTATAAGGTCTTTCATCTCTTTGGTTAAATTTATTCCTAGGTATTTTATTCTTTTTGATGCAACTGTAAATTGGATTGTTTTCTTAATTTCTCTTTCTGATAATTTGTCATTAGTGCATATAGAAACACAAAAGATTATTCCAACAGGTTTTTGTTTTTGTTTTATAAATATATTTTATTGATTTTTTTACAGAGAGGAAGGGAGAAGGATAGAGAGCTAGAAACATCGACCAGCTGCCTCCTGCACAGCCCCCACCGGGGATGTGCCCACAAACAAGGTACATGCCCTTGACCGGAATCAAACCCGGGACCTTCCAGTCCGCAGGCCAACACTCTATCCACTGAGCCAAACCAGTTCTGGCCAACAGGTTTTTTTAAATATATTTTTATTGAGCCCGATTAGTGTGGCTCAGTGGTTGAGTGTTAACCTGTGAACCAGGAGATCACAATTTGATTTCTGGTCAGGGCACATGTCTGGGTTTTGGGCTCAATCCCCAGTAGGGGGCAAGCAGAAGACAGCCGATCATTCATGTTTCTATCTCACTCTCACTCTCCTTTCCTCACTGAAATCAATAAAAATGTGTTTCTAAAAATTATCCACCTAAACTTTGTAAGGGGCTAAATGGAGAAGTTATTTGTTTGATCATTTTCTTTTTTTTTTTTTTTTTTTTTTTTTTTTTTTTTTTTAATATATTTTATTGATTTTTTACAGAGAGGAAGGGAGAGATATAGAGAGCTAGAAACGTCGATGAGAGAGAAACACCGACCAGCTGCCTCTTGCACACCCCTTACTGGGGATGTGCCCGCAACTCGGGTACATGCCCTTGACCGGAATCGAACCTGGGACCCTTCAGTCCGCAGACCGACGCTCTACCACTGAGCCAAACCGGTTTCGGCTGTTTGATCATTTTCTGTGAGCAACACTAACTATTCATTTGAGTTAAATTTTATATTTAGGTAAAAGATTCATTTACCTTTTTGCATAGTTAAAAATATTTTTTAAACAGATTTCTCTTTTTTATTTAATCATGTTTGCTATTGTCCTTCATTGTGCTCTAATATGCCCTGACCTATAACAATCTGAAAAATTATATATATATTTATCTACACTTATTTACACATGTATATGTGTGGTAGGTATGTATGTATGCATGTGTGTATGTATATATAAATAGTATAAGGTAGATATAAAATAGTATAAGAAAACATGAAGACCTGGTTTTAGTAGGGAAAACCCCCTTAAGTGGCTCAAACTCTCAGTAGGGTCAGCCTATATCCTTTTCTGGGCTCCCTGGGTTGCTCTTCATTGTCCTTGGGCCTAAGATCAGTTCTAAGAGTTACTTCCTCTTAAGGTTTTCTGTATGCCAGAACATTTCATGTTACTTGCAACATTTTCCCTAAACCTTTTTCTGGCTCCTTTCTTCTCAGCCTTGAATCTTATTTTAAATGCCACTTCCTCACAGAGGCCTTCCCTGACCTCTTTCTAAAGTTAAGTGCCTGCATTATTCTCTCTTACCCCAGCCTGATCTTTTTCCTCAAAATATGTAGCATAAACTGAAGTTATTAACTAGTTGAACTGTTTACTTATTTTTTTTTCCACCTTAAAAGGTCATGAGAGCAGTACCCATTTACATAATGCCTGTAATCTAGCAAAGCACCCAGCACAGATTAGAACCTATAAGTAGTTGAGAAATTAATGAAAGAGTGAGTGAGCCATAGAAAATCTTAATTTTCCCACTGGGAGAGAGAGACTTGATGAACTAAAAGTCTAAGACAAAAGACAAATGAGGAGAGAAGTATGTGATAGCTCAGTGGGAGGAAATACTTTTATCAAGGTCCTCTTATATTCTGGGCAGTGTACCAAGTACTTCTACAAACATCATATTTTACTTTCCTAGTAATCCTTTTTCATAGATATGTAAACAGAGGTTCAGAAGGCTCATATAAATGCTCCACGCTGTTACAATTAGAAACTAGTAGGGCAAGCATTTCATCTATGGCTCTAGCTGCAAAGCCCTATCTCAGAATTACAAACTCAGGTGTTTGCAAGACCAGGATGCCAAGGTGTAGGGATTGAGAGGAACCAAAGAGCTTGTGCCCCTGGCTCTAAAGATCTAAAGAGGCAGCTATACCCAGCCAGCATATGCCATGGAGGAACTGGGCCCAGATGGCCAGAGCTTCCAGTTGGTCAGGAGAAGTATAGATCTGATTTTTATGGGAAATGAAAATCAGTTTTTTAAAATTTTAAACTTTGGAAGCCAAACAAAAGATATCCAGTGGCTTGTTTTTGCCTTCAGGTGGTCCATTTGTAGGCTCTTCTTTACAACAGAAATGATGAGCCCACCCTGGCTAGAACAGAGAGTGTGGAAAATAGCAGTGTGTAACTTCACATTGAGGTCCTTTGGGAACGGAACTAGACAGGACCTTGGGCTAGTAAAATAAAGTCAGCTCTACTATAATGTGACATGCATTTTTAAAATTTCCTACACTATTCATTATTGTGCAATGGAAAACAGGGCTTATGGAAATCTCTGTCTCTCTGTCATCACATGGCCTTCTTATAAGGACATCAATCATTGGATTTAAGGCCCATCCTAATTCCACTGTGGCCTCATGTTGCAAGTTAGATTACAAGTTGCAAGTAATCAAGTTAGATTACATCTGCAAAGGCTGAGTTTTCCAATGTTACATTCATAGGTGCTGGGGGTTAGGACTTTTGTGGGGACATGATTCAACTCACAGTACCTCTCCTTCATTTCTTCAAAGGAGATTTAAATGTTAATGAGTTTGGATTCATCTTCTTAATTTGGTATTTCCTTGGTTCCATTAAACAGGAGTCCACTCATGTATGTTAGCAATGTCTTGGTTTGCTTAATGGTCATCACCTTGTGGTTCCAATTGGGTATTGAGGATTATGTTTCTCTGCTTACATTTTTTAGCTTCTTCATCTCTGAATGGAAAAAGTAAATGTCTTCGGAAGGAAGAATAAACAAAAATATATTTTTTTTTCATTTAAAATATTATATATTTTATTTTTATTTTTTTTACAGAGAGGAAGGGAGAGGGATAGAGAGTTAGAAACATCAATGAGAGAGAAACATCGATCAGCCGCCTCCTGCACACCCCTACTGGGGATGTGCCCGCAACCAAGGTACATGCCCTTGATGGAATCGAACTTGTGACCCCTCAGTCCGCAGGCCTACCTTCTATCCACTGAGCCAAACCAGTCAGGGCACAAAAATATTTTTAAATGTTTGTAAATAATTCATTGAACTCAAGCCGTTTTCTTTTAAAAGAGCCAGGATTGTCTGATTTTCGATATCAAATAGTTGACAAAGCTGTTGCCTTCAGGTGGTCCATTTGCAGGCTCTTCTTTGCAACAGCCCGTGAATTTCTTGTCTAACCATGAAAATCCATGTCACAAGTAACAACATCTATCAAGATGTGGCATAGTTTTCAGACCTGCCCATGTATATTCTATAGGGAACTGAGTTGCAGCCAGATATGCAGCACATCTCCCCTTGCCCAAGGCCCTGACACAACAACCCCAACACTCCTGTTTGAAGTAAGAGCTTGTTGGTGTCCTGAGGGAGAAAGTGGACAGTGCTCTCAGTTGGGCTCTTATCCTGGGAGAGAGCGGGGCAGGGCCTAGAACCTCTTTAAAGAACTGATGAGTGGGAATAAAAGAAGTTACTCTTGTGATATGGACTATTTCAGTTGTGATCGAAATCATCAGATAAATTACAAGCCCAGTAGGCAGCTAACTACAGTGACCCTGGGAACAGGTGGTCTCTGATAGTTAGGCTCATGAGTGGTAGGAGTGTCCAGAAGAGGCAGGGTCAGGACTTTGGCAGAGTTAGTGCCTTCAGTGCTTCCACAACCTATTATTAAAGTCTTCTTTCCATGTGCCAGGCCCTGTGCTGGCCTGGAGATACAGCCCTGAATCAGGGTCATCCCAATCCTTAAAGCCCTCTGAGTCAGGAAGTGGGAGAAGGTGGGTGTATGTCAGTAGGAGATTCTCTATATTCTGTTACCACACGGCAAGATTATTTACAGGACCTTTGCTTCAGAAACAGTCTTTCTTTAAAGCAGTCATTTCCAGGCTTTACGTTTTGTTGGTCAGCAGCATTTTAAAAAGTTCATATTTTTTATTATGTCCAGAACAAGGATATCTTTTAAGTTAAACCTATCATCTACTATTTATTACTGTCTTCATTTTATAAAATAAAGGCATTTTCTTTTTTCAGTTTTATTGAGATATAATTGATGTGAAACAAGTTTAAGGTGTACAGCATAATGAATTCACTTTGAATAATTGTGAATTGATTACCACAATAAGTTTAGTTAACATCCATCATCACATATAGAAACAGAAAAAAGAAAAAGAAAAAATGTATTTTTTTTCGTGCAGTGAGAACTTTTAGGATATATTCTCTTAATAGCTTTCAAATACACCATCTAGCAGAGTTAACTGTAGTCATTATTTTGTGCATTAAATTTTCAGGATTTACTTAACTTATAACTGGAAACTTAAGCCTTTTGACCATCTTCATCTAATTACCCCTTTCTTCACCCCTAAAGCGCATTTCATTCTAAAAATAGTGGGAATTATACCATCTTAGAATAAAGTTGGCTTTATGAAAATTGTATTCTGAAAAGTTCACTGTTGTGTTTTATTTTTCTCATTTCACCATGCACGGGTGAAACTGCATCTTTGACCAGCATTGGCTCCAGGACGGCGTTGGGCAGTCACTACTTTGAGCACCACCTGCAAGTGCACAAGTCGCACAGTGCCCCGTGAGAGCAGCCTCCATGTTGTGTCTTGTAGATTGTGACAGACCAGCAGACAGGACAGAAGATCCAAATAGTCACCGCAGTGGACACCTCTGGATCCCCCAAGCAGCAGTTCATCTTGACCAGCCCTGATGGAGCTGGAACTGGGAAGGTGATCCTGGCTTCCCCAGAGACATCCAGTGCCAAGCAGCTCATATTCACCACCTCAGACAACCTTGTCCCTGGCAGGATCCAGGTAAGGCCTGTTAACAGAGCATTTGTTTACACATTTCTGCTACTGGACTTGTTCCTGACTGTAACCTCTGCTCGGCCTTGGAGGCCAAATCCGTTTCTAAAAGATGCTTTGGGAACTGGTAAACATGGCAGGTTGCTGCTTTGGCTAAAGTAGTCAGCAAATGAATGGTAAGCCCTAGACAGCCAACTACAGTGCTCAGATGGGATGAAAATTAAACCAGGAAAAATCAGTAATGCATAGGAGACTGTCATGAGTGAGCTGGCACTAAGGCCACTTAGTTCTTAACAAAGGCCACACGGTGGCAGCCCTTGGCCCAGGATATTTTAGGGATACCACTTTGGGTTGACTACAGTCAGACAAGGACCAACTTGTTCTCTTACCACATCCTTGTCCAGATGGTCAAGCCTGGTCCAGCTCTTTATTGTATCCTCATTTGTTCCTATGAACCTCTGGGACCCTCAGTTCTCATCTCCACCTCTGCCCTGCTTCTCCCTACTCCTTCAAGATGGGATGGGGTCAGGGGAAGATACAGGAAGGAGAAGAGCAAGGGCTTGAAGGAAAGCAGGGTTGTTGGGAAGAACTGAATTTCCAAGCACAGCGACCAAAGGAATAGACACTGAGGGCAGTGTCCCATGGTGGACAAGCTGGAGTATGTTTAGTCAGGGTTAAGTAGGAATTCCATGAATGTACCGTATTTTTCGGACCATAAGACGCACTGGACCATAAGACGCACCAGTTTTTAGAGAAGGGAAATGAAGAAAAAAAGATTCTGAAACAAATAGTGTCCTAAAATATTTTATGTGCATTAAAACCCAACATCACAGTCATAAACACATGTAATCAACCCTGTAAAGTAAACAGCAGCATTTAGAACCATTTTAGAGCCGGGCAAGCACACAGAGACCACAGAGAGCCGGGCAAGTAAAAAAACTTTTTTTTTAAAGTATATGTGTAGGCTATATTTGGACCATAAGACGCAGGCACTTTTTCCCCCCACTTCTGGGGGGGAAAAAGTGCATCTTATGGTCCGAAAAATACGGTATTTGCTTTTAAATTTTTAAAAATTTGTAGTAAAATAAAAGAAAATTTACAATTTTAATCATTTTCAAATGTATAGTTCAGTGGCATTAACTACATTCACATTGTTGTGCAACTACTACCACCATACAACCATCCATCCACAGAACTCTTTCATCTTCCCAAATTGAAACTTTGTGCCCATTAACCACTGACTTCCCATTCCACCCTTTCCACCCCCCAGCCCCTGGCATCCACCATTCTATGAATTTGACTACTCTAGGGACCTCATATAAGTGGAATCCTGTAATATTTGTCCTTTTGTGAATGGCTTATTTTACCTAGCATAATGTTTCCAAGATTTGTCCATGTCATAGCAAGTGTCAAAATCTCTTTCCTTTTTAAGGCTGAATAATAGTCCATTATATGTATATATATCACACTTTGTTTATCCAATCATCTGTTGGTGGATACTTGGGTTGCTTTTACCTTTTGCTTATTGCAAATAATGCTTCTAAGAATCTGTGTGTTTTGGAGATAGACTTTCTACTATGGAGAAAATTAAGGAAGGAAAGGATTTTTTTTCTTCTGATAGAGCTAGTTTCGAAAACCAATTTATTCAACTTTCAGAATTGTGCTTTTTGAGAAACTCATACTAAATACTGCCTCAAACTTGCTTTCCCACAGTACATTCTGATAATGTGAAATCAGAATTCCTCACTGCTAATTTAGATTACTCCTTGTTTGTGAAAGGATGGCTATTGATGTTTCTGCATGTTTTACAAGAGGTCATTTTATATAATTCTGTATATATTCCCACCATACATCTATCATGGTACATTATTTAATAACAACTATTTTTCACTTTCTCATATTGGTATCAGTTACACTATTCTTCTAGACCAGAAGCATGATTTGTCACCTAGAAAGTCACTTACAAATAAAGGATAAATAGCAGGTTTGGGGGTCACTGATTCTAGTTATTCTACTCCCAGCTGCCACAGTAGGAGACCTGCTATTTAACGAATAAAGCTCGATTCTTTCTCTGCCATATGTACCTCTCTGCACAGTTTCAAGTTGTTTGGTGGGAATAGAGGCAGCCAAAAGACCTTCAATATCTTTATGTTGAGGCTTCTATATGTGATTCCCCAAGTGGCCCCCAGTTTTGATAATTGTGGTAGCCAGATAGGAAGGCAGATCAGTGAAATTCAATGCTTGGCCCTCATCAGACCCCCCAAACCTCTACCCCTTGATGAAGAGGTGCAATTCAGATGAGCAGCGGGGCTATTCTGGGTGTCAGATTAAGTTGTCAGGTGGAATTTTCCCAGTTCTACCCAAATCAGCTCTCCTGCATAGAAACTCAAGATTAGGAATTTATAGTTAAGCATTACTTTGCTTAGCAGTCTAATTTTTAATTCCCATCCTGCTTGTTTCCTGATTCTTCTTAGATCGTCACAGACTCTGCTTCTGTGGAGCGTTTGCTTGGGAAGGCTGAGGTTCAGCGGCCCCAGGTGGTAGAGTACTGTGTGGTCTGTGGGGACAAAGCCTCTGGTAAGTAACTCTACTAGGTGCGCATCAGGGCCCAAATGGGTAGGGAGGGTAATGGAGAGAGAACCAGTTTCACTTCTATAGAGTTGTAGGTTTCAAACCATGAACTCTACTTTTCTTACTAGAGTAATATATGTAAGCAGATCACTTAGTCAAATTATTAGAATAAAAAAAATCAGGAAACTATTTCTGTGATTTATAAATCATTGTTGAGCATTGAATATGTATGTGTTACTAAGAAAGTAATCACTTCTTTATTCTAGTCAATATTTGTAGAGTGCTTTGCTGTTTCACAGAATGTGTTATTTAGTCAGTCCCCCTTCATCCTATAAACTCTGTCATCCATTCACTGTAACCCAATATGATAAACTGCTAAAATGCAGGAGAAGGGAACATGTGATCCTGGCTGGAGTCCCAGGGTCAGGAAAAGCCTCCAGAGGCAGTCACATCCGTGAGCCTTGGAGGTTGAGTGTGCCTACGTGAGGTAAAACAGAAGGGCATTCCAGCTAGTGGAGCCAGAGCTCAGTTTGATGCCCACACCCACAGTATCTTTGGGGAAGAGCTCCTGGACATATAGGTAACAGGAAAATGGAGAAGATACCTAGCTCAAAAGTTTACACTTTGGTCTGCTAACGCTGAAGGCTGTAGAAGATAAGTGAGGCAGACAGGGAGGAATGGAGGAATCCTATATAATAAAAGGGTAATATGCAAATTAACAGAATGGTGGGGGGGGGGGGCACAGATGCTCAATGCAGGAGCTGCCCCCTGGTGGTCAGTGTGCTCCCAAGTGGGGGTTGGGGGAGAGAGCACTACTTAGCCACAAACTGGGCTGATGGCTGGCAAGTGCAGCAGCGGTGGCAGTGCTAAGGATGTTAGTCTGAGGACTCCCAGACTGCTAAAGGGCTCAGGCCAGGCTGAGTTTAGTCAGGGTTAGAAGAAAGACTAAAGTGCACAAATGTTGTGCACCGGACTTCTAGAATTTTTTTTTCTGTTAATCATTCTTTTTTTTATTATTATTAAGGTATTATATGTGTACAGATCTTACCATTTCCCCCCACACACACATACCCATACATACCCTTACCCCCCAGAGTTTTGCGTCCATTGGTTATGCTTATATGCATGCTTACAAATCCTTCGGTTATCTCCCCCATATCTCCCTATCCTTCCTGCTGTAATTTGACAGTCTGTTTGATTCTTTACTGTCTCTGTATCTATCTTTTTGTTCATCAGTTTATAATGTTCTTTATTATTCATAAATGAGTGAGATCATGTGGTGTTTTTCTTTCACTGACTGGCTTATTTCACTCAGCATAATGTTCTCCAATTCCATCCAGGTTGCTGCAAAGGATAAGAATTCCTTCTTTTTTATGGCAGCATAGTATTCCATTGTGTAGATGTACCATAGTTTACTAATCCAGTCATGTGCTGACGGGCACTTAGGCTGTTTTCAAATCTTAACTATTGAAATTGTGCTGCTATGATTATAGGGGTGCATATATCCTTTTTGATTGGTGTTTCTAGTTTCTTAGGATATATTCCTAGGAGTGGGGCTACTGGGTCCAATGTGAGTTCCATTTTCAGTTTTTTGAGGAAACTCCATACTGTTCTCCACAGTGGTTGCACCAGTCTGCATTCCCACCAGCAGTGCATGAGGGTTCCTTTTTCTCCGCATCCTCGCCAACATTTGTCATTTGTTGATGATAGCCATTCTGACAGGTGTGAGATGGTACCGTATTGTCATTTTGATTTGCATCTCTCGGATAATTAGTAACTTTGAGCATGTTTTCATGTGTCTCTTGGCCTTCCTTCTGTCTTCTTTTGAAAATATTCTATTTAGGTCCATTGCCCATTTTTTAATTGGATCATTTATCTTCCTTTTATTAAGTTGTATAAGCTGTCTGTAGATGTTTGAGAGTAAGCCTTTATCAGTGATAACATTTGCAAATATGTTCTCCCATACAGTGGGCTTTCTTGTTGTTTTGTTGATGATTTCTTTTGCTGTAAAAAAGCCTTTTATTTTGATGTAGTCCTATTTGTTTATTTTCTCTTTAGCTTCCAATGCCCTAGGGGCAGTATCAGTGAAGAAGTTCTTTCGGCATATGTCTGAGATTTTGCTGCCTGTGGATGCCTCTAGTATTTTTATGGTTTCCCGTCTTATGTTTAAGTCCCATATCCATTTTGAGTTTATTTTTGTGTATGGTGTAAGTTGGTGATCTAGTTTCATTTTTTTGCATGTGTCTGTCCAATTTTCCCAACACTGTTTATTGAAGAGACTGTCTTGACTCAATTGTATGTTCATGCCTCCTTTGTCAAATATTGAGCATAGTGATTTGGGTTGATATCTGGGTTCTCTATTCTATTCCATTGATCTATATGTCTGTTCTTGTGCCAGTACCAGGCTGTTTTGAGAACAGTGGCTTTGTAATACAGCTTGAAATCTGGTATTGAGATCTCTCCTACTTTATTCTTTCTCAGGATTGTTGTGGCTATTCGGGGTCTTTTTTATTCCAGATGAATTTTTGGAGAGTTCTTTCTAGGTCTGTGAAATATGCTGTTGGTATTTTAATGGGGAGTGCATTGAACCTATAGATTGCTTTGGGTAGTATGGACATTTTAATGATGTGGATTCTACCAATCCACGAACATGATATGTTCTTCCATCTGTTTACATCTTCTTATATCTCTTTTTTCAGTGTCCTGTAGTTTTCTGCATATAGGTCTTTTACCTCCTTAATTATTCCTTGGTATCTTAATTTTTTTGGTGTGATGGCAAATTGGATTGCTTTTTTATTCTCTGTTTCTATAAGTTCACTATTGGTATATAGAAAGGCCATAGATTTCTTGGCGTTAATTTTGTATCCTGCTACATTGTCTAATTCATTTTTTAAGTCTATTAGTTTTTTTATGGAGTCTTTTGGGTTTTTTATGTACAAAATCATGTCATCTGCAAATAAGGACAGTTTTACTTCTTTTTCAATTTGTATGCCTTTCATTTCTACTTCTTGTCTAATTGCAATGGCTAATATTTCCAGTACTATGTCAAACAAGAGTGGTGAGAGTGGGCATTCCTATCTTGTTCCTGTTCTTAGAGGGAATGATTTTAGTTTTTGCCCATTTAATTACCTATGCTTAATGCTGAGGCCTGAGCATCTGACTGCACACCAGTCGCTTTGATAGACATACCTTAAAAATAGGGCCTGTGATGGTTACCTCTTTTCTTGGTAAACTGCTTCATGCACTCTATTTTTTCAGGCCGTCACTATGGAGCTGTCAGTTGTGAAGGCTGCAAAGGTTTCTTCAAAAGGAGTGTAAGGAAAAATTTAACCTACAGCTGCCGGAGCAACCAAGACTGCATCATCAATAAGCACCACCGGAATCGCTGTCAGTTTTGCCGGCTGAAAAAATGCTTAGAGATGGGCATGAAAATGGAATGTGAGTAACAATATTAAAGAAACCACGGGAGTTAATAAGGAGTGAGAAAGTAAGCATTAGTCTGTTAACTAAGGTTTCTGTATCTGGCTTTAAAATACTAAGAAGAAAAAATTCACTCACACTTCACTTTGTTTACCTTCGGGCTCAGTGTGGTATTTCAGTACCGACACTCCTGGGGTTGGTTAGTTCCCGTGTATGTGGCAACCTACTCCCAGTAAATTGGGAGGCAGCAATGTGGAGTGGGGTAAGCACAGGCTTTTGTAGTAAAGCTGATACCAGCTTTGCTCCTTAGGAACTGTGAGGCCTAGGGAAGACATGTAGGTTCTCTAAGCCAAAGGGGCCTCCTCTTTGAAATAGAACTCCTTACCTTACTTACATATTGGATTTGGAGTTTAGTCTTCCTTTTAATAAAAAGGTTGTTATTTTTCAGTTGTTTCTGGCATGTATGCCTATTCTTATACCAGATTACTGAAGGGAGAAGTTGCTAGGGTGATAGAAAATTGACAAAACACTTTGCAGAAGTCATGCATGCTGGACATTAGAGTTGTTCCTCTACAATGTGTGGCATTGGACAAGCTCTCTGTTGGAGAACCACTTGAAGACAAGTGTTTCTCACCCTGGAGAGACTCCCTTTTGTTTGCAAGTAAGAAGTGAAAACCCAGCCCTAGCCCATTTGGCTCAGTCGATAGAGCCTTGGTCTGTAGACCAAAGAGTCCCGGGTTCAATTCCGGTCAAGAGCACGTACCTTAGTTGCAGGTTCTTCCCTGGCCTGGACCCTGGATGGGACTCGTGCAAGAGACAACCAATCGATGTGTTTCTTTCATATCGATATTTCTCTCTGTCCTTCCCTCTCGCTTCCACTCTCTCTTTAAAGCAATGGAAAAATATGCTTGGGTAAGGATTAAAGGGGGGGGGGGGAGAAAGACGTGAAAACCTAGAAGGCTCAGGATGGACCCTCACAAGGCCATGCAGATGCTGTACTTCGTAGGCAATGCCCACCATCTTGAGCCCTTTTCCTGCCTTTAGACTTGGCATGGCATTGCTTGGCTTTGAACCTTTAAAGCTCCTTTGTCTGAAAAGTCCACTGAAAATTGAGCTTTACTTTCTAAGTAAGACTATGGTTTTTAATTGATTCAAATCTTTCCTCTAACTATGAATATTTATTGTGATTTAAGCTGTACAGAGTGAACGGAAGCCCTTTGATGTACAGCGGGAGAAACCAAGCAATTGTGCAGCTTCAACTGAGAAAATCTATATCCGGAAAGACCTGAGAAGTCCTCTGATTGCCACTCCCACATTTGTGGCAGATAAAGATGGAGCAAGGTTAGTGTCTGTTTTGACAAAGGATAAAACTACCATCAGCCCTTGTTGCTGATCAGAGGAGGCACTGGTATTTTTGGAAAGGCAGCTTATATGGCTCCCCACCTGCCTGGAAAGCCATCAACCTTGTCTTGCCTCATTTTACCCCTTTTGGAGCTACTTCAGTCAAACCTCTGTACAGTCCTGAGGATGGCTGATGGGGTCAGAATTTTTAAAGGGCTCAGATTATGTCTTGCAGTTTGGCGTTATTCATACAGGAAAACAGTTCTGGAATTCCAGGTTGGGATTTTTTTGTAGTATAGACAGAAGGCCTAAGTACCAGGTGTGGTCCCTTATAAGTGCCACAAGTTAATTTATATGGCCTTTTTACTGTAATCTGTTGAACTTTATTTAAAAAGAGACAGGAAAATAAAAAATCCAAATGTATCACAGAGAGAACTAGAATTGAGAATGCCTTAGTGATATTCTGAAGATCAAGTTAACATTATTTGGCAGAGCAGCCAGAGTTCACAATCAGCACAGAAGCAAGCCCTGGGGATGTGTGTCTGTGTCATCCTGTCTCAGGCTATAGACCTAGCTGTGTGCACATCTCATTGCAGAGAAAAGGGGGGTTGTTCAGTCACTTAGTGTTTGAGTCTAGTTAGAGCTTTTTTTTTACTCAGACAGCCCTGCAGATGTCGAAGGGACAGGGAAATATAGCATGATCATACTGCACATTAAATGTTGGAAGCTACTCTGGGTTTCTTTATGTCTTAAATAGACAAACAGGTCTTCTTGATCCAGGGATGCTTGTGAACATCCAGCAACCTTTGATACGTGAGGATGGTACTGTTCTTCTGGCCACAGACTCCAAGGTGATGTTATGCCTTCTCCTCCATTTTTATGTTGCAGTGCAGACTACTTTGCTAACTGTGTGCACCACCACCTTCTTGGCCTTCAGAGACCACGTTGAAAGCATGACCTTCTGCTTCTCAGTTTACTTGTGATTTAGCCCCCTGTGATTTGTGTTAGGGATGCTGATGGCTTTCAGAAACTCAGTCAGAGCTGACTGGTCATAGTCATAACAGGGCCTAGAGTTCAATTTGGTGAAAGTTCTATGGTTCTCTTCTCTATAAAGATGTTCGTCTCCTGGTACACACATTGACAAATTACTGGCCTGCTGCAGAACTAGCTACTTATCCTAAAATGGCCTTACAGAAGCCTCTAGATCAAGCAGGTCAAACTCAAAGGCTAACACGGGTCAAATAAACAAGGTTTAAGTTTATGTGGTCTGCAAAAAAAAACAAAAGCTTCAATTTTCATAGAAACATAGGTTTATTTTGATAGACATGCTAAATACAAAGGGCAGAAATAAATGAGTCCTGACCCACGGGTCGAGAGCTGCTAGCAGGGTGGCCCAAGGCCATCGGAAAACACAGATTATTTACATTACGATTCATAACTGTAGCAAAATTACAGTTATGAAGTAGCAACGAAAATAATTTTATGGTTGGGGATCACCACAGCATGAGGAACTGTATTAAAGGGTCTTGGCATTAGGAAGGTTGAGAACCACTGCTCTAGATGATCTGTAGGAGGAAGTTAAGCCAGGGTTTTAAAAGATAAACCAGGGAATAGGGAATTTGACTTGCGCAATACAGATGTTTGTCAATCCGAGAGAGACAGAAAGAGAGAAAGAACTGGCTAACTAATAAAGATAACTAAAGAGGAGGGTTTTATCCAGGCAAGGGAACCTGTTGTCTTTCTCATTTTGACCCAACTGATGAAGTAGCGGCCAGCCAGGGTTGAGGTCCGAATTTCTTCCCTGAAAGGAAGGAGTAATTCGGTAACAGAGCACTACAGGCATTGCTTCTCTTAGAGCCAGAGCTGGGCCTGCAAACTCATTTGTTCACATGCACATCAATGTGCACGCTCTGTATATTAAGGAGCATCCTTTTGGGGGAAAGAAAAGGCAAAACTTAGAGCCATTGGCTGTCATAAAGAGATGTCCTCTACCTAGTGGTCTTCAGGCTAGGCTGTAAGACTGAAAGGAAGGATCAAATAACCTTAAAACTCCTGACTACCAAGGAATTTCACAGCAACTATTCTGTTGTGCCTTTTTATTGATAAATAATGTGCCTTTAAATGCCTATATTACATTCAATTTTTCTACTAATCAGCTGATGAACATTTGGGTTGTTTCTACTTTTTTGCCTATTGTAAACAGTGCTACTTAATAACATTTGTGTACGAGCTTTTTTTGTGGACATATGTTTTCATTTTTCTTATGTACATGTCTAGAAGTGGAATTGCTGGTCATATGGTAACTGTGTTTAAACTTTTGAAGAACTGCCAGATTACTTTTCAGTGACTGTAACATTTTACATTCCAACCAGCTATGGGTGAGAGTTCCAGTTTTTCCACATTCTCTCCAACACTTGTTATCTGTTTTACTATAGCTGTGCTAGTGGGTGTAAAGTGGTATCTCACTGTGGTCTTGATTTACATTTCCAGTGATTTTGAACATCTTTTCATGTGCCTATGGCTGTTTGTATGTTTTCTTCGAAGATATGTCAACTTAAATTCTTTGCTTATTTTTTAACTGGGTTTATTTGTCTTTTTATTATTGAGTTGCAAGAGTATTTTAGATATTCTGGCAACTAAACTATTATCAGATGTATGATTTGCAAATATTTCCTCCCATTCTATGAGCTGTCTTGTGTATGTGGGGGGAGGGGGGGTGTCTTTCTACTTTCTTGATAATGTCTAATGAAGCACAAAGGTTTTAATTTTTATGATACTCTTTCTCTTTTTGATCTTTCATTTTACCATGTATAGATTTTGTAACCACCACCACAATCAAAATATAGAACTAATCCATCACAAAAAAGATCTTCCTCATGCTGCCTTGTTCTAGTCATAACCCCCTTTATGAAGCTGTTTTTAAAGCAACATTATATCTTCACTGGAGGCCCGATGCACGAGCAGGAGGGGAAGGGTGGGGAGGGGGGAGTGTTTCTCAGCCCACCCTGCACCCTCTCCAATCTGGGACATCCCTCTCACAATCCAGGGCTGCTGGCTCCCAACCACTCACCTGCCTGCCTGATTTCTCCTAACCACTTCTACCTGCCAGCCTGATCAATGCCTACCTGCTCCTCTGTCAGCCCAATTGCCTCTAACTGCCAGCCTCTTCAACCCCAACTGCCCTTCCCTGCAGGCCTGATGATCCACAACTGCCTTCCCCTGCTGGCCATCTTGTGGTGGCCATCTTGTGTCCACATGGGGGTGGCCATCTTGTGTTTGGAATGATCGTCAATTTGCATATTACCTCTTTATTATATAAGATTAGCCTGAGAGTCATGTGTATGCATATTCATCATGTATGTATTCACTTTTTAATGTTATTATTTTTGTTTAATAGGCTGAAACAAGCCAGGGAGCTCTGGGCACACTAGCAAATGTAGTAACCTCCCTTGCCAACCTAAGTGAATCCCTTAACAATGGTGACACTTCGGAAATGCAACCAGAGGACCAGTCTGCAAGTGAGATTACTAGGTATGAACCCCTGAGGTACAGGCTCCCCTCGTGACATGCACACTCAGTCACTGAATTGTGAGGGTGGGTGGCAGCATTTTTAACACTCACCCTGTATTTAATCAAGGATTGTAAAATTGTCACAGTTCCCCTGAACATCTGTCTCTTCTCAAAATCAAAGATGCTTTTCATTCCAGACAATGAAAAAGGACATTGAGTAGCTCAGTGGAAGCAGGGGAAAACTCTTCAGTGGACAGATGCTACTCTTTAGTCATTATTTATTATGCCTGGGTATTAATAGCTCATTCCCTTTTCCCAATTCTGTTTTAGCCTCTTTTTTTTAAATGCATTATATTGACTTTAGAGAAGGGAGAGGGAGAGAAAGATAGAAACATTAGTGATGAGAGAGAATCATGGATTGGCTGCCCTCTACTGGGGATTGAGACCCCAATGCCTGCATGTGTCCTGACCAGTAATCAAACTGTAACCTTCTCATTCATGGGTCGACTCTCAACCACTGAGCCACAGTGGCTGGGCAGCCTATTTTTTTCATGTATCTTTTTTCCCAAGTAGTGAGTCAAGAGCTTAAATAGTAGGTGATAGTGTTAACTGGTCCTGGACATCTGTAACTGGCTGGTGATGGTGTTTTTCTGCGGCATGGCTCTGGTATTTGTTCCTTTTCTGGAAGAGCGGCCACTCCTGCCCATCTTACTAGGCCTGACAGGTGCAACTCTGGGCCACACAAGTGCGCTTGCTCTTATGTTCACTTGTGGTCTGATAGCAAAATTTAGGTCTGATCCAATGGAAAGGAGATAGGGTCTGGTTCTACCACTTACTCTATGGGCAGTCTTGGAAAGTTATTTAACATCTCTAAGCCTCGGTTTTCACATCTATAAAATGGAGAGAATTCTACTTTGGAGAATAGTTGTAAAAAATAAAAATTACATGTGAAAATAATAATACATAGCTTAGTACCCAAGGTAACGTATAGAGAATGCATAGAAGCTTTCATTGTTATCCCTTCTCTCAGGTAGAATATAAGTATCTTTCCCCAATGCATTGTTTTTCTAAATTATGTCTCAGCTAGAGTTCATTTTCCCTAAAAGCTGTGGATTTACAATACTTGCTTGCTTCAATTTTGCTCACAGGGCATTTGATACCTTAGCTAAAGCACTTAATACTACAGACAGCTCCTCGCCTCCAAGCCTGGCAGATGGGATAGACACCAGTGGAGGAGGAAGCATCCATGTCATCAGCAGAGACCAATCTACACCCATTATTGAGGTTGAAGGCCCTCTCCTTTCAGACACTCATGTCACATTTAAGGTGAGTGTGTTATACCTAACCATGTGCCTCCATCCTACTAGGAGAGGAGTTTTGTACCAAAGCTAGTCTCAGTTTAAAAATCAAACCTTGGAGTGAGCTCATTTCTATATTGTGGCATTTGATTGGGATATTATATTCTAGAACTGTATCCCCATTACAAAACACTTTCACTCGTCCTTTGTTCATAGTGGCATTTGGCTCTGAAGGTAACCCTGAGAGGCTGATCTGTAAGGGCCTATTAGCTGACTGCTCTGCCTTCCACCTTCTGATAATGAACTGGCTCCAGTACAGGCTAAGGTGGGGCCGTTGGTCTGCTCCAACAGCAGGCAGCCAGCTTCATGCCCATACATTGGTCCTGACTACTTACCCTCTGGAATTATAGAAAGTAGATATCTGTATCCTTGATGGGGATACTGTGAGGCCCTCATAGGTCCTCCTCATCCTCTCCTCCACTGGTCTTGCTTCTGTAGGACACTCCCAGTTTCCGCGAGGCCCTCTTAATCACTCGGTCTCTAGAGTGAGTCTTTCTGTTCCCCAGTATTCTTTACTAGAGAGATCTTGCCAGTCAGGAAGGTTAGGTCCCTGCTTATAATTGCCCAAAGTACTGAGGACACAGATTACCAGTGAGATTCAAGTTTTAAAAGCCCAGGCTTGACAATCTGGTGGTGGGATATTCTCCTACCCCTAGGTTTCTGCTCAGCTCTTACTTACAGTTGCCTTGAGGCCACCTACAAAATGTCTTCTAATCCACAATTTGACCCATTTTTCCCAATTTGATTTAGACTTTAACCTATGATTCAAAGTGGATTTGCCTTAGAACAAATTATTTAAGGCAAGAGTTGAAAAGTATGCATTTGTCTAGGTAAGCTGGGTTGGTGGGGTTCCCATCATAGGATGGGTCCATGCAGAAGCCTTCACATCAGAGACAGTGTCTCTGGCTGCCATGATGTTGAAATGCAACAGGGATTTGTATTGACAAACCAAGCTATCCCCTATCCCTCTGTCACCTCTTCTCCAGCTAACAATGCCCAGCCCAATGCCAGAGTACCTCAATGTGCACTACATCTGTGAGTCTGCATCCCGCCTGCTTTTCCTCTCCATGCACTGGGCCAGGTCAATCCCAGCTTTTCAGGCACTTGGGTAAGTGGCCTTTTTCTCTCTCTATCTCCAGTAAGAGCCTTCCCGTCTCTGGGAATGTCAGGAAGATTTCTGAAGGCACTTCCAGTTTGTTCCTATGACCTGGGTTTTTTATTAAATATAGTCAGTGGACCTGTAGCAGGAGACTATGGATGCTAATGTTGCAGTGCTCTTCAAATCTTTATCGAGCTTCCTCCATGTATTAAGGACTTAGAACTAGCAGCTGGGGATAGAGTGAAATAGAAACAGGAGTCATCCTAAAATCTGGAGACAACTAAGGACATGCTGCACATGGGGGCATCTGAGTAAGGACTGTTTTGCATTGCACCAGCCATGTCATCCTAAGGTAAATTACCCAAGGCAGGGATGAAAGCTGGCTTCCTCCCTACCAGTGTCAGCTCCTCCTCTATAGGGTAGAAAGGCCCTCAGTTCCTATGCCTCGGTGTAGGGTATGTCTCCTCCAGAGTCTCACTCGGCTCTTAGTCCTTTGCTGCATCCTCTCATGACAGAGGCACTGACTTAAGTTCAAAGAATCATTTTTAAGAGAGTGGATAGTTTATCCTCAGAGAGACTTAGAGATTCTTATACAGTGGTGTTCTTAGAAGATAACCCTCAATATAGCATAGACCTTCCATACCTACTTGCTGAATCCACTTGTTTGGGGCTTGCTGGGGTTTGGAGAAGTGCCAACTCACACCCGCACCCACCCTCACCTGTGTCCCCAGGCAGGACTGCAATACCAGCCTGGTACGGGCCTGTTGGAATGAGCTCTTCACCCTCGGCCTGGCCCAGTGTGCCCAGGTCATGAGTCTGTCCACTATCCTGGCCGCCATCGTCAACCACCTGCAGAACAGCATCCAGGAAGGTAGGGCGGGACGTGGGGGAGTCTGTCTCCATCTAGGCTGGCCCATCACAAATTGGCTAGTCTTAGAATCCCACACCATCCATAGGCTGAGGGAGGTTTAACTTTTAAGTCATAGGCAGTTGACCTATTCAGCATATTTAAATTTCTGCCTGATTGCCCTTTTTTCATACAATGAATATGAAAGGGGGAGGGGAGAAGATAATTGAAAAAAGTTGGCATCTTCCTGCTACATAGACATGTAGTGATGTTTTCAGAATAATCACAGCTTATGTTTTCATCTTCATTATCAGGATACCCTTTCATGTGTAATATTTCACATATCTTCACAACTTTATAAAGTATCTAGAAACTGTTATCTATGTTACATATGATAAGGTCTCTGGCTTGCCCTAAATGAAACAGCAAATAGAACAGCTGAGGCACCAACATAGGCCATGCAGACTTCCTGTGAATAAACAAATGACTCTTCTAAGATCTGAGGCAACCATCTTACATTTGGTGGACAGATCCCAGTGTGTCAGAACTAGGAGACATCCAGTGCAATCTGTCCACATGCCATGTGTCCTCAACACACTGAAGAGCACAGGGTTCGAGACTGACAGTCTACACTTGCAGCTGAGTGGGAATTCAGCTGTACTTGTAACTGAGCATTCCAAGTGTTTGATATCTAGCAATGTGACTTTACCTAGTCACACCTTTGATTGTGTAGTTAATCCTTTTAAATAGTTATAAAAAGGTTATTTTTTAAAAACCCTATATCATTTTATTGAATTTAAGTTAGATCTGTTTAAAAATGAGCTTTTAGTTCTTTCTTCTTCTTAGTAACTGATTATAATGCTAATTCCCCTCAGCAAAATGTTATGAGGATTAAGTCAGATAACATAGAATTGCTTTAACAAGTAAAAAAGCGAATATTTTAGGTTGGTAAATATTTATTAAATGCCTGCAGACACTTAGGAAACCTAACCATTGATAAGAACACACAAATGGGTCTTAAGCACAGACTAAAAGGAATTACCAATTTATATGTCAAAGGTGCTGCCTAGGGTTGGGCCAGGGAGAATTGCTGGTCCAGTAGTTCATTATTGAAGCAAAATATATAACTGTAGAATTGGGGTACCTATCGTCATTTCATCTTCAACTGGAAAATGAAGCTCTTGACCATCTTGAGATAACTGTTTTTTTAATTAAAACATGAAGTTAGCCCTGGCTGATTTGGCCTGTGCACTGAAGGGTCCTGGGCTCCATTCCAGTCAAGGGCACATCCCTGGGTTGTGGGCTTGATCCCTAGAAGGGGCATGCAAGAGGCAGCCAGTCAATGAGTCTCATCATTTATGTTTTTTTCTCTCTCCCTCTCTGAAATCAATAAAATATATATTTTTAAAAAACAAAAACGTGAAGTTATTCTCTTTCCCCTCAAAGAAGCTTGTATTACTGTTTTTATCAGCTTTCTTAGGGAATCTGTGATATTGATTTCTAGATAAACTTTCTGGTGACCGGATAAAGCAAGTCATGGAGCACATCTGGAAACTTCAGGAGTTCTGTAACAGTATGGCAAAGCTGGATATAGACGGCTATGAGTATGCATACCTTAAAGCCATAGTTCTCTTTAGCCCGGGTAAGATACGTGGTGGTGGCGCATGACTGTCTCCACCTATGTCTAACGATGTTTGTTAACATGAATGTTGTGTCAGTGGTGTAGAGAGCCCTGCCGGATTGTGACTGAATGCACTCATAATAGGTGTGCTTTGTTAACTTAGGTAAATACATACATTTAATTCTTGTGCCTTTACAGCCCCAAAGAAATGGCTTGTTATACCAAATAGGTTTAATCTGTAATCTAAATTAAACCATTGGCCAGGCGAGGACATACAAAATAGTGTTCTACCATCCTGTGTCTTTTTTATTTGTTTTGTTTTGCTCTTTGCCAATTTTCAGGTTATGTTAGCATATATAACTTGAAACTACACAAATTTACCCATAGTCTCTGTGGAGGGCAGTAGCAGCAGTTGCTACAGGGAACATGAAAAGATATTGTCACAGCAGGTGAAGAAGAGGCAGCAGGAATTGTTAGTGGAAAGTAAAACAGGTAGGCTGGCCTTACTCACTTCCCCTTGGCTGTTAGGCTATCTCAGAGCCTTCTGAGCGGTCACTTGGGTGACTGATGTCCTTACCATTGTGTTGAACAGATGGGGTTGTAAAACAGCTTAACTTTTCCCTTCCTTCCCTGCCCTCCACTCACAAACAACAAACTAGCTAGTGAAAATGGGGCAATTATGTAATTAAATATCTAGAAAACAAGTTAATAAAATATTAGTAAATAAATTTCTAATTTCATGATAGTTTTGAAACTGATGTGTTTTTTAGAGTAGCAGCAAGTCAAATGTTCAGAACCAATAGTTGGGGCTGCTAACACTCAGGAGGAGCTCAGCTCCCTCCTGGGCACCTCCAGGCCTTGGCTGAGGATTGGAAAATCCAGTGTTCTAAACACTATCCAAACCCGATCAACCTTAAAAGTTCATTCTATTGTGCTTAAGAAACTTGTCAGAAGTTTGACTAAAAATAAGTTCTAAGCAGTCTGTGAGGCTTTCTGAATACAGAGGGCAATTTGGGGGCACTTTTCTCTTTTCAGATCATCCAGGTTTGACTAGCACAAGCCAGATTGAAAAGTTCCAAGAAAAGGCACAGATGGAGTTGCAGGACTATGTTCAGAAAACCTACTCAGAAGACACCTACCGGTGAGACGCACAGGCACATGCTCTTGCTCAGAGTGTGGAGGAATGCAGTTGTATCTGTAGTTGCAAATATAAATTATGTTAGCCTTCCTATTTCTAGCAGCCTGGTAAAGCCTCCATTTCATCACACCTTAATTCTTGCATTTTTTAGGTGGTAATGGAGTGTGGAAAGTGCCAAGCAGGGAGGGTCCAGATATCTGGCCATCCCATTGTTGCTGGGTAACGGTGGGTGTCAGGACCTTGGGTTGCTCCTCTGTGATTTGGGGGTTGGAGTCGATGCTCTGTGGTCTCTTCTGAGGCTGACATGCATGAGGCGTGAGTCCTCCTGGAGACACTCCTTGTCCAGAACAATTGGAAGCTCTGCTCCTCTGGTCTGCAGGCACTCAAGAGGCAACGCTGAAGGACTTGAGAGAAAAGTTTTCATTAACTGAAACCAACCTGACCCTAATAAAGCAGTGAGCAGGTTGTGTAAAATAGTAATTTCGCCTGCAGATAAAGGGTGAAATTTCTCTGTGATTGGAGAGGGGCCTGTGGCTGGCCCTGCTGGCTTTAGGCACACCTCCATAGCCACAGGCAGCTTTTGCCAAAGCAGAATCCATTTTCTACTGGGATCACTGAAGACCTCACCATGAATCTAGACTATCTTGAGCCTCAATAGACATAGCCTGATACTGTCAAGTAATGCACCCATACTCAGAACTTACACATCCAGCCAGGAATGAAGGCAAAATGTCCCCTGAAGAGACCACAGGCCTACTCCCACACAGTGCCTATAACCAGAAGCAGCTGTAAATGCCCTCTGGGGACTGCTGGCAAAGCCACAGCATGCTAGTATCACCTTGACAATGGCAAGTGTCCGGTCTTTGAAAGTAGATGTGAAAAAATCCTGAATCACTCCTTATCCAGTCAGGTACCCAGGAGGAGAAGGAGGCAAGCCAGATGATTTGGGACTAAAAGTGAGATAAGGGAGGCTTTCCTCATAGAATTCAAAAACCCACTCAAAGACATTTCCCAAAGAAACAGCCCTAGTAGAATACTTTATACCCTGTTTACACATTTACTTTTTACTTTATTCCATCCTTATGCTTTTTCTCATACTGTTTTTTTCCTCCTGAAATACCCTCTCATTCCTCCCCATTCTTTGCATCTCTGCTGAAAGACATCTTATTAATCTTAAGGCCCAGTTGAGATGTGGCATTCTCCAGGTCTGTAGTGGTGTCCCCTTACACTTTTGTGTGCCCTGCAAGGCTCACGGTGCTGGGTGAAATGATGATGGTTCTAGAATGCTACTTTCATAATATGAATGTCCTTTCCCTTTAACAAAAACATCAAACACATAAAATGGAATATCCTCCAGATGGGGATAGTTTTTGAATAGTTAATAAAGCTATTTAAAATTGTTTAAAAAATGGTGACTAGGAAACAGAACATTCTGAAAAACAAAAAGACTTTTTTTCACTCTGTAAATACCACTTTATAAACATTTTATGTATTTACTTCCAGAAGTTTTGCATGTATGTGTAATTGGAATCATAAAATATAAAGGTTTGGTAACCATTTTTTTAAATTTAATATTCAATGAGTATCCATATTCTTCATCATTTTCTGAGGCTGAAGAAATGCTGTAATTTAACATTTCCTGCTGATGAGAATGTAGGTTTTTCCCCCCAGATCTTGTGCAGTTGTTATGGAGTGACTTTAGACAGTGGCCCATGGCCCCATGACAAGGTCATGGTGTGCCCTCCCATCCAGGGTTCCTTTAGAAGGAAAACAATTTTTTTGTTTTATTTTAAACTGGAGGCCCTGTGCACAGGGTTCCTCAGCCTGGCCTGCGGGGATTGGGCTGCAATCAGTTCTCTGACATCCCGAGGGGTCCCAACTGCAGAGGCTAACCGTTAGCATTCTGATACATATTCTCCCGAGTACCATTTACATATGTGCACACAAACAAATACACACAAGTGCAACTGTGCTATACTTGCTGCTACACAGCCTCCTTTCAAGTGTTTATTCAACTACATGTCATGGACTTATTAATGAGCATGGATTTTTTTAAATATATATATTTTTATTTCAGAGAGGAAAGGAGAGGGAGAGATAGAAACATCAATGATGAGAATGATTGATTAGCTGCCTCCTGCACACCCCACATAGGAGATCCAGCCTGCAACCCAAGCATGTGCTCTGACTAGGAATCGAACGTGATTTCCAGGTTCTTAGGTTGACGCTCAACCATTGAACCATGCTGGCCGGGCTATGGATCTTTATTACCCTTTTTAATTTTTTTTAAAGATAGTTTTTATTTTTAATATTTCAGAGAGGAAGGGAGAGGGGAGCGATAGAAACATCAATGATGAGAATCATTGATTGGCTGCTTCCTGCACATCCCCCACTGGGGATTGAACCCACAACCCAGACATGAGCCCTTGGCAGAATAGAACCCAGGACCCTTCAGTCCACAGGCCAACATTCTATCCACTGAGCCAAATCAGCTAGGGCTTTATTACCCTTTTTAATGAGTATTTCTTGATCCATTATATGAAAACATGTTTTTTTAACCTGTCCTCTATTGATAGATTTCCACATTTTTCTTTTGGTTGGGGGTAGAAAGAACTCCCCACCCTGCAAACAGTGAAAGGAACATAATGTGTACATACATCTTTGTACTATATATATATTTTATTGATTTTTTTACAGAGAGGAAAGGTGAGGGATAGAGATTTAGAACCATCGATGAGAGAGAAACATCGATCAGCTGCCTCCTGCACACCTCCTACTGAGGATGTGCCTGCAACCAAGTACATGCCCTTGACCAGAATCGAACCTGGGACCCTTCAGTCCGCAGGCCAACACTCTATCCACTGAGCCAAATCAGTTAGGTCACATCTTTGCACTTTTAAACTTTTTTTCTCATGAACTCCAAGAGAAACTGCTAAAATCAGAAAAATAAGAGGTAGACAGTGGGTGGATCTGTTGTTATGTTCAATTCTGAGCCGATAGGGCCCTTGAGAGCCTGTCCAGGATGAAGTCTGAAGGTCAGTGAACCCCCCTTTCTCTAATGACCCTCCTTCTTACAGATTGGCCCGGATTCTTGTCCGCCTGCCAGCACTCAGGCTGATGAGCTCCAACATAACAGAAGAACTTTTTTTCACTGGTCTCATTGGCAATGTTTCGATAGACAGCATAATTCCCTACATCCTCAAGATGGAGACGGCAGAGTACAATGGCCAGATCACCGGAGCCAGTCTATAGTGCACACCAACACCTGCTGAGGAGCAAAAATGGCCTCCCGGGACCGCTCAGAGAAAAAGAAAATGGAAGTAGTATTTTGGTATGTGCAAATATTTCCAGTATGTCCATCATTTCCTACCTGGTTTCTTCATATCTGTTAATCCCAGGCAATAGCAACTAAAAGACTAGTAGGATCCTTTCCTGCCATAAGAAATGTTTTAATGCCTTTTGATGAAGCAGCAGATTTTGGAACAATCTTTTAACTCAATTTGTATTTAGAAATTCTCAAAGGGCAAAAAACAAAGTTTTATAATGTCAGAGACTAGTATTAAAACAAAGAACCTAAGAGAACAGTATGTATATATTTAAAATGTCCTTGGAATTAATAGCTACTAATTACCAGGGTAATATTAGCACTTTCTAAGCACTTCTTATTGATACGTAATGTTAGCAACATCTTGTCTATGTGCAGGGCAAATGAAAAACAGTATACGTCTTTTGCTGAAATGCTAAGAATTTCTGTGGAAATGCAATAGGGTATAGGAGACAATCATTTGTTTAAGAAAAGAAGGCATCGTTCCTAATTGTATGCACACTTTAGTGGTATTGAACTAAATTCCTGAGAGCAAATGAAAATGTGGCTTATCTATATCATGCAGTAAGTGGGAGTGTGCTAGCACAGTTGGTGGTGACCCAAACCAAAAGCTTCCTCAGTCAGAGAGAGCTGATGCTTGTCGGGTTCCCTGGTCTCTGGTCCCAGTCTGACAGGCAACTTCAGGCTCCTCCAAACCTTGGTGCCTGGTTCTCAGAATTGGATTGCAACCAGTTAGACATTCATTGCCAATTCCAACAGCAATTAACATCCCCAAATTACCTCCACTATGGCAGATGGAGCCTTCTGACCAAAAAGTACAATTCAGCATTTTGAACCGTCGGCAGTAGTACTTCCTGAATACAATCTGGGCAGCTGCAGTTTCCAGAGGGAGGGACATGGCCTTCCTGGAGCACGAGTGTTCGTTCCTCTCTGGGATTTCTGTCCCAAACGCCCTTACGGGCCTGTGTTCCTGCAGTTCGGAACGACTGAGGGTGGAGTATGTGTACAGGATCTTGCTTCCTGGCTAGGGCAGTGGTGGTGAAACTGAATGATAGGGTTCTCTGTTGACCTTAAATATCAGGGTTATTCAAAGTGTCTCCAGATTCATTATCTCTTTTGGCAAGTTTTTGAATAGTACTGGCCCTCTGTGCACTTTTATTCCCCTAGGTGTATACCAGCAATTTAGGTGATGGATGCAGAAGCAGGCTGCCTGCTCCTTAAAAATAACCCTTAATTCCCACCTATCTCCTTTCTCATAACTTATAGCAAATGTCGTATACAAGAACAGAATATGGTTATAAGGAAGTTCTGTCTAGAGAAGTGCACCCATAACTTCCCATGGATGTGAGTTGCAGTGAGTATTTCCTTATAAGACTGAGTCAAGTACTTAGCATTTTCTTATCAGAATAAGCAACTACAATGTAAGGTTAAGCTTGTATCTCTTTAATCTTTTGACCAGATATCCAAAAAGATCCCAGGGCACTCCCTGCCTCCCAGGCACTCCTGGTCTGGTTCAGGCCCTGTCATAGTGGGCACTTCATAAGATGTACATGGGTGTTGGGCAAGCCAGCCACAGGCTTAAGCAAAATGGGATGCTTTAATCTGAAGTGTTAGCAGCACTTTATAAAAGTCATTAGTGAGAATTAAGTGGGAACAATTCTTCAATTCTTTTATCACTTCTAGTTCCTATCTTGGAAGCAAATTTGGAGAATAGTGAAGGGTGCCCATTATAAAATGATGGAAAGGATAATGTCACCACCATCTTAAATGTTGGGTTTTCTAACTTTGAGTGATTTAAACTGTAAAATTAAGACCAAAAATTGGCCAAGACAAATGGAGTTAGGGCAGGTCTGTATCGTTTCTGCTTAATGAAGGATTTTAGCAGAGGGCATTTTGAAGCATGTTCATGCATTTTACACAGCGAATTATCTGTTTTTCTCTTAATTTTTAAATATAAGCATGTTTGTTGATCACAAATGTGTGTCACATTTTTCAGATCTGAGTTCTGTGTTGGTGAGAAAGTCCGAACTGGCCAGCTCCCCCATTCCCAGGGGCAGGCCCTGTGGAGTCCTGTATCTATTAGGCTGTTAGACTCCGTTTGCCTTAAGATATTGGGGCAGCTTAGCCAGGACTTAGGCTGCATTCGTGACAAACCCATGCTTAGATAGGTTAGGAAGAGAAGGTGATAACCAGGAGGACAGTGAACACTTGGATAGGAAAGTGCCATACCTCTAACAAAATATCCCTTAAGAAAAGTGAGTTTAATTTAGGAAGCTGCCCATTCTAACCTGGTCCTTTTCCTTGAGTCCCTTTGCTGGTGGAGGCTGATTTCAAATGGACCATTTGGAGGTTGTGCACTCATTAGTTTCCCATGTCCTCTTGGCCTTACTCTGAAGTGGCCTGTTCCTTAAGGATCCAGTCCCTCACAACCTGAATTGTCACTGACCCAGATTTCAAGCTTTTTACAGGTCTATTCCATCTTTTTTTTTTTTTTTTTTAATATATTTTATTGATTTTGTACAGAGAGGAAGGGAGAGAGAGTCAGAAACATTGATGAGAGAGAGTCATCGATCAGCTGCCTCTTGCACACCCCCCACCGGGGATATGCCCGCAACCAAGATACATGCCCTTGACCGGAACCGAACCCGGGACCCTTCAGTTCCCAAGCGGACGCTCTATCCATTGAGCCAAACCGGTCTCGGCTATTCCATCTGTCAGATTGGTTAAAAGAAGCGCAAAGTCAAGATTATTTAAAGGGATCCTAAGCAGATATTTGGGCTCAACTTTTCCAAGGCTTTCAAACTCTAGATTTAGTGAGACCAAACCTCTACCTGCTGAATCTCAGTGAAATAAGGTAGGAGTTAAATTCTTTGCCATGTAGCTATTCACACATACCCTTCTGCTGGCTTAGCCAGTCCTCAATGAGGGAGGCTACACTGGCTAAGGGAGATGGGGACAGACATACAATGTTTTGTGGCTTTTTTCCAGTGGATAATGTTGAAGTTATGTGTCGTTGAAATTTTGGAGTTCTTTATATATAATAAAAAACAGGACAGGAAGAGACTTAGAAAAAGACCAAATTACTCATGCAAATACTACTTTCCAAGTTATTCCTGGAGAGTATTTTTAAGGCAGTATGTTACCGTCCTTCTAATTTGAGATTTTCGTGTTGGGATTACGTTATTTATTGTCTAATCTCTGTGGTTGGGTGGTTTTGTTTGTTTGTTTGGTTTTTATATTTAATTTCAGGTGTAGTCACTTGTAAGATGTATTATATAATATCCCTCAAGAGGGATTTTCTAGCTTGTCAGTGTCAGTATTAAATGTGGGCTGTTTTGAGGCAGTTGCCACCAGTCATGGTGATAGCAATGGACATGTCTACCCTGGGCTCCCCAGTGTGTAGCAACACACTATAGCTTACTTAGCAGTTTTGCTTGTTTTAGGGGCAGCCAAAAATTAGAAGGGCTCTGGCTGTATCTAGTGCTTTTATTCTGGGAAAATCACATCCTAATCCTTTGGGGTAGTTTTCAGCAGAGTAGTCTCCCTCCCTGCCTGCACGCTGCCTGACAAGCAGCCCTTGGCTGCGGATCCAAGTACCGTGACCTGGTTAGAGTCTGGAGGCACGTGGCCTCCTGTGCAGTGGGAATGGCTTTATGTGCAGTGGGCTATAGGTGGGACATTTGAACCGTGCCCTGAGCCCAGATCAAGGAAAATGTCATCTTCTGACATTCACCTTTAACTTGAGAGGCGAGTGCCCTTCAGGTCCCGGAAAGTCTGAGCAGGCAGGGCAGGTGACCCAGCTTTTGTCCCATGTCCATTCCCTAGATTGCGCGCCTCTTTGACAAAATTAACTTGGATGTGAGTTTGTGTTATAATTGAAGAGTGGGTTTGGATCTCGTACCACAGGGCTTGGCCTCCCCATGTGCCTCCCACCAGCGGGGCACAGCTGTGTCTAGCCCTGAGCTCCCCTCAGCACATTGTGCGTGTACAGATTACCGACTTGTATGACTAAATGAATGTACATGTGTTTATATCTTCTATATATGTACAGTGTATATATATAGTGTGTATGTGTACATAGGTGTATATTATGTATACAGACATGTAGCCACGTATCCAAACTCTCCTTAAGTTTTAAAGAGAATCTATGATAAGAGTTACTAAAGTAAATTGAGGTGGGTATTCCAAGATCCTTCAGCAGGATGGGTTTGCCACATTTTTAACTCCATTTTCCTTTGGGTGCGTCTGGCTGAGGAAGGCCATGACGTTAAATGTTCACTTTGTACCAGGGAAAGTTCCAGACAGGAAGGTCCTAACAGAATGACATTACTATGTATTCCTAGGGTGAGACAAGGGCTAAGAAACTGGAAGACAGTTATCCTAAATGTCCAAAAACTAGGTGGGGATTTTTAACCTGGTTGTCACACCCCTCTTTATAGCCTAACTGGAAGGAACTTGGAAGGTCAAGCAGTGGGCCTTCCCTGGACTCATCGTCATGTAGTCAGTTCCAGAACGGTCCGTGTCATGGGGCCTGGCTCCCAATTGTCCCCACTTGCTCTGGACTCAACAGATTCCCAACGCAAGTTGGGGGGGGGGGGGGGGGGCACAACCAACCAAGTATTCTTTAAAAATAAGCATAATTGTTGATGGCTAACTTTATGGCATAAGTTACAAATCTTAAATTAATTCTCCAACTATAGCATGCAAATGAAGTCTACTGACTTTTTCTAAATTGATTTTAAAATCTCAGATAAAAATTGCATTTTAATATGGTTATGCATGCCCTTAAAGCTACAGATGCCTAATTTTTCTTGTCCAGCTCTACTCTGGTGAGTTTCCCCCCTAACTTGGGCTTTAATCTGAAACACAGCACTCGGGAGCCAGGCCCCAGCCCACCTGTAGTTGCTCATGGACCTGACTGATGGGAAGGGTGAAAGCTGGCCTGCTGAAAGAGATCACTGGATAACGGCAAAAACATAATCCACAGGTTTTCTTTTTTTAATCTGTTGAAATGTTTGAAAACACTTCATTGAGACCATAGTACTCAGTGCCTTTTGTGAGACTGGGCCACTCAGCCTCCAGCTTCCCCATCTGTGATATAAAGCTCCCGCTGCTTCACTGGCCGCCCAGCAGCGATTGTCACCTTTCCCATGTCCTTGCCTGTCGTGACAATCACTATTGAAGGTAGCTTTCCAATTCAGATAATACAAATGGAAGCTTTCCAGTCTCTAAGTGAGTCTTTAGGACTTTTCATTTGGGGCTATTAGCAGCAATCTAAAAATAAAGGGAAAGCCTGAGAGATTTTTAATGCCCAGCTATACTTTTGATTAAGCCAATAATTTTGGTGTTCCAAAATGCATACTATGTATAATAGAAAAAGTGCTATAAAAATGTTGAAAAAAATGCTCAGCAACATTTATCAATTGACAGGTTGTGATAAAGCTTAATATTTGGATAATATTGGGAAGTAGACATGAAAAATAAATGGCTTTTCTCTAGGAAAGTATAATCAGTTGCCATTTTAACAACAAGAGCATTCATGGACTCATGCTGCTGCCATGTACAACTCAAGTGCTGGAATATTTTTCTATATCCTCCCAATTATCTTGTAAACCAGTGTTCAACTAGTTTTATAACTGAAAAGCTGCACCTTTTTCATAGTACAAACCATAGTTTTTACCTGTAGTTTGGAGCTGTTAAAATGTAGCTAAGTATTACCAGCCCTTTTAAAAGACATTAAAGGAAAACTTGGGTGTTAGATTTTCTTGGGACCGTTTCTGTAACCTCTGCCCTTCTCAATATAGAAAATATTGTTTATGCCATTACATTTTAATTCCAGGTTTAAAACCTGTTAAAAATGTAGCTTGAAATCAGCTTTGTTTATGTGATGGCATTTAAAATAGCATGTTCTTTTTTAATTGAATTTTATATCTAATCAATGTCTTCAGTCTTGAAGAATAATTTGCATTGTTGTGTTTGTATATAGAGTATTGCAGTGCATGAATTAGCTTTATGCATTTTATTAAATGCTGTTTCAATGTGGCATTGTTGTGGCTTAATACTACTACCTAAATGAGGTTTATACTATTAAAAGTTAATTAAAGACTAACGTGCATCTTGTTCATCCTTTTTCCTGACAATAGTAATAATAATGCCTGGCCACCAGGGGTCCCCAGAATACCACTCACCTAAACACTGAGTAGGTGGTAAGAAAGCGCCCTAGTCATCAGAACCCTGTAGCTCTCATCTCACCTTAGCCCCATCCATTTGGTGGCCCACTGGACTTGTTTCTGGAACCAGCATGGGGTGCCAAAAGTGACAGACACAGAGCCAGGCCTCGGACCAGAGCAGACATATGCTTAAAGTTTCAGAGGTCATCTGCCTCATTTTACAGGTGACGACTCTGAGGTCTGAAATCAAGATTCTTGGCAGAACCTCACTGGCAGCCAAATAGCTCTCCAAATGAAAGGCAATTGGTCACTTCAGAACAAGGTTGAAAACCATCTGGCGAACATTGGTTATACAAATAAAATTAAGAAACATTTGGATCAATTATAAAACCCTCATACAATCTTCTCCAATAACTTCCTCCCATCTCTGTACATTTTAAAATCTTTTTTTATCGTTGAAGTACGTAGGAAATGGAAGACAACTGTTTGGATCACATGTGTCAAACACAAGGCCCGCGGGCCAAATCCGTCCCGCCAGGCCTTGCAATGTGGCCCGCACCGCACTGTCATCACTGCACTCCGCTGCGTTTCCATCACAATGACAGTTTATGACTTCAGTAAACCATTCGGCCCGCGATTTAGGCTGGATTTTAGATTTTGGCCCCTTCTCTGATTGAGTTCGACACCCCTAGTTTAGATAGTTTGCCCCCTACCGCCCCTCTCCCCCCAGTGGTGTTTGTTTCCATGAATCATTATCTCCTGTCTATGAAATAGCCCATGAAAAACAGTAATGATGGTGCTTTCCCATCAGGCACTGGACATTTATTCTCTAAAGAAGGATCACTAGCTTGGTTCAGGGCAGTCCTGGCTAGCTACCCTTCTGGGCCCTGTGCACCCTAAGGCCTTTTTTCTCACCAGCTCTGGAGACAGACCAAAAGGAACAAACTCTTAAAGGGCCTGGAGGCCCAGTAGAAAGTCCAATCAGCTGGTTGTGAAGGCCATGTTGCAGTCAGCCACGTGGGATTGCTAGGAACATTGCAGGAATTTAAACTAGGGATTAGAATGGAGGATAAATTTTTCTGGTCACCCTCTACAAATAGTGATGGAAAGAGGGCACCAACATTTTAAATTTCAATTAAGCAAAACTGAAGTAAACCTGTCAGTTACACATTAGACCCAAACCAACCATCCCTTTCCAATCCCTCCAAGGCTGTAACCTGAACGCCAGTCTGGTACAAAACAACAGTAAAGCATAATTTGAGCATCAAATGTAAAAAGAGCCAGATTTCTCAATGAGATAATCCCAACATTTAAATAAAACACATTCTACCCTTGCCAATTTGGCTCAGTGGAAAGAGTAACAGCTGAGTGCTGAATGGTCCCAGGTTTGAGTTTGGTCAAGGGCATGACCTGTGTTGCAGGCTGGATACCCGGCCAGTCAGGGAGCATGTGGGAGGCAACCAATCGATATGTCTCTTTCACATCAATGTTTCTCCGCCCTCTCCCCCTTTGCCTCCACTCTAAAATCAATGGGGAAAAATATATCCTTGGGTGAGGATTAACAGCAAAACACAAGTTTCCCATAACTTACCTCGTGAAGTAATGCCCTTATTCCCATTTTACAGCAAGCGTTAGGCCTTGACCAAAGCTCCCATCAGAGAGGCACTCAGACCTTAAACCTGCTCTTCGAAGCCCACCTTGCTGCATCCCACTGGTCAAAGTCTCCTGGTCTGTGTTTCCACCGGTCTGCAGTCCATCTGGTCCTTTACTTTTGACGAAGTAAACCTATCCTTAAAGTGACCCTAGAAGGCTTTCGTGTCTCCTACGGGCTAAAACCAGCAAAACTCAAGTGGCAGCAATATCCATGTCCCAAGGAGGAAAGGACTACTAGGCAGAATTACTACGTAACACCTCACACCCTCTCCCAAACTTTACCTCAAGAATTGAACAAGCCGAAACCGGTTTGACTCAGTGGATAGAGCATCGGCCCGCAGACTGAAAGGTCCCAGGTTCGATTCCGGTCAAGGGCATGTACCTTGATTGCGGGCACATCTCCAGTAGGGGGTGTGCAAGAGGCAGCTGGTCGATGTTTCTCTCTCATTGATGTTTCTAACTCTCTATCCCTCTCTCTTCCTCTCTGTAAAAACTGAATAAAATATATATTTTTTAAAATGGCAAACTTAAGTACGTGGTTATTTAAAAAAAAAAAAATTTAATGAACAAGCAAGAAGGTAAACTGGGAGGCAGCTTCCACAGCCAGGCCCTCGGGAGGAAAAGGTCAGCTGGCTTTAGTTTAGCAGTGAGCACTGCACAAAGGCTTACCTCGGGATTTCTGATGCCCAGAGCCTGAACATCCACATGGCCAGCCACAACTAGCTCCAACCAGACTCAACTGCACTTTCAGAGGAGGGTCTGGAAGAGGAGTCAAAACCAGTGGAGACGGAAAAAGCCACAAGACCAAGATGTCAACAGGCTGTGGCCCTACACCTTCCTGGCCCCAACGTCCTGTTCCCATGCAGGCCTTCCTCCTTGTGCCCATCAGACCGGATACACAATGCTGCTGGGTGATTAAGGAGCACTTTATTTGCAGAGTCTCTGGGGACAGAACCAGGATCTCCCTGTGGCCAACGTAACGCTAGCCCACAGGCCTGGGCCTTAGTCCTGGGCACTGGCTTTCAGAGCTGCTTTGTACTTCCCGGTCATCTCCTTGGGTAAGGGCACCAGGGCCGGGCAGGGCACCTGCCCTTCCACCTCACAGATGCATTCCCGCAGGCAATACTTTCGAGGTCCAAAGTGGGCTGGGTGAGAAAGCTGCTTTTTCTCCTGCTCTTCTTGTTTCAGGGTTTCCCTGCAAAGAGCACAGGCAGCAACAAGGTGTTGGCAACATTGCTCTGAGCCTCTGCGAAGCACAGAACTTCTCGGAGTGAGCTCCATCCTCCGCTGGGGAGACCTGGATCTCCTGTGTTTCCTAACATGCTTCTCGCTCCTCAGACCTGTCCCTGCCCTCACCACAGGGAAGCCTTCAGTATGTGAGCAGTGTTAGGCAGGGGAGGAGGCACCTGGATAGCACACTCACACCAGGCCGGCACAGGGGAGCCCTCAGACAGCCGAGAGGCAGCCCCGTTTCTGACAAGTGAGACAGAATAAAGGGGCCTGGAAATGCCTCCAAGTGCTTTCTCAAAGATATCCAGCAAGCCGAAACCGGTTTGGCTCAGTGGATAGAGCATCGGCCTGTGGACTGAAAGGTCCCAGGTTCGATTCCAGTCGGGCAAGTACCTTGGTTGTGGGCACATCCCCAGTAGGGGGTGTGCAAGAGGCAGCTGATGGATGTTTCTCATCAATGTTTCTAACTCCCTATCCCTCTCTCTCCCTCTCTATAAAAAAATCAATAAAATATATTTTTTAAAAAGATATCCGGCTTCCCTCCCTTCTTTCCTCCACGGAGAGAAAAAGGATGGGTCACCCACGAACTCCAAACGGGGATACGTCACCAGCCACACAGGACAAGTATTTTAGCTGCATCTCAGCTGCCCACTGACGAGGGGTGGATGGCTTACTGTCACACATTTGGCGAGCAGCCTAGTCAGAGGGATGGACTCTCCAGCCCACACTCCGGTCAGTGTCTGGCTCACAGTCAGAGAGCCTGCCCTCTTGACACCCCATCCCTCTCCGCTCTGAAAATCTCTGGGCTAAGACCTTTGCCCCCCTCCAGGTCAACCCCAGTAACTCACTCATTCTTCCCCAGGATTTTTTTGATGTGCTCCATGATCTCTTTATTGCTCTTGGTCTCTATATCCACGAGAACCTGCTCACCAGTGTCTGAAAACAGAAAGTAAAGGGGGCGTGGCTGACAACTCAGATGAGAGTTCCTCAGCCGCAAATGGTGATTTGCCGTTTGCTAGTGGAGAAATATTTTAACAATAAAGTAAATATATTTGTTTACATAACTCATAATATTACTACACTTTACTTTTCCATATTTCTTTAGACATGAGCAGACATAAATTTTAGGTTTGTATAAAAGCATACTACTTTAACAAAAAATTCCATGTTCGTGGATAGAATTAACATAGCAATTCTCCCCAAACTGGTCTATAGGTTCAATGCAAATCCTATCAAAATCCTAGCAGGTGTTTGTGTAGAAACTGACAAATTGAGCCTAAAGTTCATACAAAACAATTTTGCAAAGAAAATGGAGGAAGGACATTCATTTTCCAATTACTATAAGCTACAGTAATCAAGTCAAAAACAGACTTCAGAGTAATGGAACAGAATTGAGTCCAAAAATAAACCTTTATATTTATGGTCAATTGATTTTCAGTAAAAATGCCAAAACAATTCAGTGAGGAAAGATAATCCTTTAAACAAATGTTGCTGGGACAATTGGATAGCTACGTGCAAGTAAATGAATTTAGACTTTTACTCCCAACATTAAAAAAAGAAACAAAAAAACTCAAAATGAACCAGGGACCTACAACTATTTGAAAATCTTTAGAACCTAGGCAAAAATATGACATCAAAAACATGATTATAGAAAAAAAATACACTGAATTTAAAATCCAAAACTTGTTCTTCAAAAGGCACAATAAGCAATAGAATGGGAGAAAATGTACAAGATGGATATATCTGATAAGACTTGAATCTAAACTATATAAAGAACTCAAGACAGTCCAACTAGAAAATGGACAAATCTGTGAGTAAACATTTAACCAAAATAGTCATTAGGAAAATGAGAAAATAAAAACCATGAGCTATAAGAGTGCTTAAATTTTTTTTAAATAGACAATACCAAGTACTAGTAAGGATGCAGAATAATGGAACCTTTCCTACATTACTGGTAAAAATGCAAAAATATTACAGCCAATTGAATCAATGAATTAAGACAAAAAGATAAATAAAACTGCATTTGCAGATGACAAAATTGAGTATGTAGAAAATACTAAGGAATTTAGAGAATAAACTATAATGTGTGTTTATAAGCAAGGTTGCAAAACACATTCCATATACAAAAATCAATTAGCCCTAGCTGGTTTTTAGGCCCACAGACTTAAAGGTCCCAGGTACCACCGTTGCAGGCTCGATCCTGAGCCCTGGTCAGATGCGAGTGGGAGGCAACCAAACAATGTTTCTATCTCTCCCCCTCCCTTCAACTCTCTAAAAGTCAATGGAAAAATATCCCCGGGTGAGGATTAACAACAAAAATCAACTATACTAACCAAAAAACTGGAAATGAAATGCCATTTACAATAGTCACAAAACATACTCAATATTGTTAAAATATCCATACTCCTCTAAATGAACTATAATGTAATTCCAATTAAAACCCCAACAAGCTTTTTTCCAGAAACTGGCCAAATTTTAAAATTTAAATGTAAATGCAAATAACCTAGACTAGCCAAAGTAATTTGGATTCACACTACCTGATTTTAACACTTATAAAACTACAAAAACTAAGGTAATACGATATAGGTACTGTATTAGTATAAGGACAGACATAGGTCAGTGAAAGGGGATGAAGGTTCAGAAATTTTTTAAATGGACAAAAGATACAATTATACTCTTTACAAAACAAATACCGGTATATGAATAGCTAATAATAAAAAGGAGAAAATGCAATGAAAATTTCAATTAAAATCCATTGGAATGGCTAAAATTCTTTTGTATATGGTAAAATATGTGACATAAAAATTGTCATTTTAACCATTTAAAGTGTATAATTTGGTGGGTTTTGGTACATTCAAAATGTAAAACAATCACCATTATCTAGTTCCAAAACTTTCTCATTACCCCAAACAGAAACTCTCTTGCCAATTAAGCAGTCATTTCCTATGCCCCACACCACCCCAACCCCACCCCCTGGTAAACATTGTTGTCTCTATGGACTTGCCTGTTCTAACATTACATATAAGTGGAATCACAATTATGTGGCCTTTTGTGCCCGATTTCTGTCACTTAGCACATTTTCTAGGTTCATCTGTATCGTAGCATGTGTGTCAGCACTTCATACCTTTTCATGGCTGACTATCTGGATACACAAGCATTTTATTTTTCCACTCATGGTTGAATGATTTTTGGCAAAGCCAACAAGGAATTCAATATGACAGTTGTTCTCAACCTTCCTAATGCCTCAACCCTTTAATAAGTTCCTCATGTTGTGGTGACCCCCAACCATAAGATTATTTTCATTGCTACTTCATAACTAATTTTGCTACTGTTATGAATCGTAATGTAAATATCTGTTTTCCGATGGTCTTAGGCTGTACTGTAGTGGTTCAGAGGAACTGTATTAAAGAGTCTTCGCATTAGAAAGGTTGAGAACCACTGCAATAAGAGGAAAGGACAAATGTTCAACAATTGGTGTTATAAAAGCTGAATATCATGAATCTAAAAAAATACAACAACCTCAACCCCTATCCTTACTTAATACACAAAAAGTAGAAAATAACTTGAACTTGCCGAAACCAGTTTGGCTCAGTGGTAGAGCGTCGGTCTTCGGACTAAAAGGTCCCAGGTTCGATTCCGGTCAAGGACATGTACATTGGTTGGGGCACATCCCCGGTGGGGGGTGTGCAGGAGGCGGCTGGTCCATGTTTCTCTCTCATCGACGTTTCTGGCTCTCTATCTCTCTCCCTTCCTCTCTGTAAAAAATCAATAAAACATTTTTTTTAAATGCCAACAATTAAAGATCTTTAAAAAAATAGAAAGAAAATAACTTGAACTAGAGCACATAAATGTAAAATCAAAAACTAAAAAAAATTTCTAAAGAAAATATAAGAGAATCTTGGGAAAGACAGAGATTTCTTAGGACACAAAACACTAAACATGAAACAACTGATAGGCTAAAGTTTATAAAAATTAAAATGCATGCTCTTCAAAAGACACCAGTAAGAAAAGGAAAAGCAAGCAGACAGAAGAAAATATTCATTACACATGTAACTGACAAAGGAATTGCATCCAGAATATGTGAAGAACTTTTTTTAAAACCAATTTTTTACACGGACAAAAGATACAAATATACTCTTTACAAGACAAATATTTGAATAGCTAATAAGAACATGAAAAGTTAGAAGAAAATGCAAATTAAAATTTCAATTAAAACCCCATGGAATAGCTAAAATTTAAGACAATGTGGTGAGTAAAATAATAGCCCCCAAAGATGTCCCTGTCCTAATCCCTCAGAACCTGTGAATATTTATGTGGCAAAAGGAACACTGTGGATATGATTAAAGTTAAGGGCCTGGCGGTGAGAGATTATGCTAATAATCACATGGGCCCTCCAATCAGAGAACCTCTCTGCTGTGAGCAGAGGTCCGTGTGACTATGGGAGAATGGGCAGGGATAAAGCATTGCTGGCGTGGAAGGCTGAGGAGCGGGCCGTGACCAGGGAACGTGGGCAAACTCCAGAAGCAGGAAAAGGCATGGAGATAGATTTATTCCGAGAGCCTCCAGAAAGGAAGGCACAGTAGACACCTTCATTTCAATCTATACTGAACTTCTAGCCTACCGAATTGTAAGAAGAAATTTATATGGCCCTGGCTGGTTTGGCTCAGTAAACAAGGGTGTCAGCCTACAGACTGAAGGGTCTGGTTTAATTCGGACCAAGGGCACACACCTCGGTTGCAGGCTTGATCCCCAGCCCTGATCGGGGCGTGTGCGGAGGCAACCAATCCATGTGTCTCTCATACAGATGTTTCTGTCTATCCCCCTCCCTCCCACTAAAAATCAATGGAAAAATACCCTCAGGTGAAGATTAACAAAGAAATCTGTGTTGTTTTAAATCACTAAGTTTGTGGTAGTTGGTAAAGCAGCCACAGGAAACTGATGCAGATAAACCAGTGTGGGTGAGGATGTGGAACCATGGCTCACATTTTGCTGCCCGGAGGTGAGGGTTAGGGTTAGGGTTAGGGGTTAGGGTTAGGGTTAGGGTTAGGGTTAGGGGTTAGGGTTAGGGTTAGGGTTCAGTATAGATTGAAATGAAGGTGTCTACTGTGCCTTCCTTTCTGGAGGCTCTCGGAATAAATCTATCTCCATGCCTTTTCCTGCTTCTGGAGTTTGCCCATTGTGGAAAGCTATTGGGCAGTTCCTAAGAACATTACACATCGATTCAGCATGAGGCATGGGCTCTGAAGAGCTGAGCACCTGGATCCTCAGAGACCATTTGTGTGAGAAGATGCTGACAAGTACCTTACCTCAGCCCCAGACTGAAGCAGCCCCTCACAGCCAGAGGCCCACCACTCCCCGCTTCCTGCGAGGAGGCCTCCTGCAGGGAGCAGCCAGGGGCCAGCCCGGCTGCTGTTTGTGGAGCCCACCAGAGCCACACCCAGTCTCTCCTGGCAGAGGTCTAGGATCCAGCCATCTGGGCTCAAAGTGGAGCTACAGCTGCCCATGGGCTGGCCCCGACTCCCTAAGAGCTCATCCCCACCTTGGTGCCTCCTGCCCGGACCGCCTTCCTCTTCCCTGTCTGCGAGGCGGCAGACCTGCTTTGTCATAGGAAGGTTTTCCCTGCTCACCCCCTTTTATCGCCAATAAATCTCAAACTTCTGTCCTGGTATCTAACAAAAACTCAGGTGTTCATCAACAGGTAAATGGATAAACTAACTGTGGTATATTCCTATAACGGAGTACTATTTAGCAATAAAAATGAATTAACTACTGGTATCATGGATAAGTCACAAAAACTTGAGTGAAAGCCAGACACAAAGTACATCCTGGGAGATTCTATTTATATGAAGTTCAGAAACAAACTATGGTGAAAGAAATCCTAACAGTGGATGCATCTGGTGGGATGGGGAATTAACCTGAAAGCAGCACCAGAGGCCTTCCTGGAGCAGTGGCCGGCAAACGACGGCTCGGAAGCCTCCTGAGGCTCTTTGACCCCTTGAGTGTGGCTCGGCGTTAGAACCACTTCTTCAAAACAGACTCGCCCAGGCCGACAAGGGACTTCTGCGCATGGGCCACGAAGCTTCAGTCGCACTATATGTGCGTGCCCGCACGTGGTATTTTGTGGAAGAGCCACACTCAAGGGGCCAAAGAGCCGCATGTGGCTCTCGAGCCGCGGTTTGCTGACCACTGGCCTGGAGTAACAGAAATGTTCTTCAGCCCTGGTCAGAGTGGCTCAGTTGGATGGAGCACCGTCCTGTGTACCAGAAGGTGCAGGTTCAATTCCTGGTCGTAACATGCCCAGGTTTAGGGTTCATTCCCCCGGAGGGGGCTTACAGGAGGCAACTGATCAGTGATTCTCTCTCATCATTGATGTTTCTCTCCCCCCCTCTCCATCCTCTCTGAAATCAATAAAAACATATTTAAAGCGCTGGCTGGTTTGCTCGGTGTTTAAAGCATGGGCCCACAGACTGAGAGGTCGTGGGCTGGATTCTGGTCAAGGGCATGAACCTCAGTTGCAGGTTCCATGCCATGAACCAGTCCTGGAATGTCCAGGAAGCAACTAACCAATGTGGCTCTCTCACACTGATGTTACTCTCTGTCTCTCCCCCTCCATTCCACTCTAAAAAATATCCTTGGGTGAGGATTAACAAGTACATATATATTTTTTCAATAAATAAAAATAAAATAAATATTCTTCATCTTCATTGGGAAAGTGGTGACATAACTGTCGGAACTCATCAATCTATACACATTAAACCTATGCATTTATTATAAGTAAATTACACTTCAATAAAGTTAATTTTTTTCAATGCAAACACAAAATATATACTACACAAAATCATCATACCACCCCCACTCTCTTCACCCACTTACCTTGCTCTATTTTTTTTTCATAGCATTTATCTTCTAGCACACTGTCTTAAGTTCCTTGTTCTATCTCCTCCTGCTAGAGTATTATCTCTATAAGGGCAGAAATCTTTGTATGGCTCCCGGACACGCAAGAACTTAGAACAGTACCTGGGTGCCTAGCACATTTGCTAAATAATCTGGCCATTTTGGGCCAGAAATAAAATGGAAGAACATTATTTTGTTTCTCAAAGCATTTCCCAGTCTACACTTCATTTGATTCTCTTAACCGTGTAAGGCAGATAGATGTTTTGCCTTGAGAAATAAAGCAATGAGGAATATTTTTTGCTCAGGGTCAGAATGACTGAGAGCTGGACTAAAATATCTGGTCTTCTGACTTCTGGGTACTAAGCCATATTTAACCGAATGAAGTTCACTTGGTTCCAAGTGGACACACACAGACATTACTTTTCAGGAGAATGTGGCCAGTCTGAGGGGCTTCGGGAGACGGGGGGCCAATGGAAGCATGCAGGGAAGGTGTCCTGGGAGAATGGTGCCCAAGATGAGTCTTAAAGGATTTTTTTTTTTAATTACATAAGCAAAGAAAGTAGAAAGGGGATTTATCAGAGGGATGGCATGAGCAAAGGCATAAACCGAGGTGTGACAAGGGAATTTTGAGAAATCTGTGTGGTGTGAGGCACATGAAGGCAACAGGAGACGAGTCTAGAGAGGGAGGGGGAAGAGGCGCCCAGATCTCAATGGCCATTCAAGTCAAGATGACAGAAGCAATGTTAGTTCACAGGAGCTTGTACCTCAGACCGCTGACTGCTGTGAAAGGACGGACGGACGGACGGACGGGAGGAAAGACAGTCTTGGAGCACAGCACAGAGGCCTCCTTACTCACCCAAATAGAATCGAAGGAAGGGTGATGGTGTCATGTTCTTAAACATCATGATCTGCACCCACGGGTTTTTGTACTGGATTTGAGGTATGTTGAAAAACACAAATTTCCTGCAAAGGAGAAAAAATTAAGCCCATGAAACAGTAGTTTTTAACCTTAAATGTTGCATACCTGTGTATTTTTCAAGGGAAAAGGTCCAGAACTTTCATCATATTCTCAGAGGACCCAGCCCCCCAAAAAAGGCTGAGAAATGCAGCTTTCGGGAATGTTAGTGTGTGCTCTGAGGGGGGGTGTCAGACTCCAACCAACTGAACCGCACCAACCAGGGACCAAATGATCTGGGTTTAAATGCGCCCTTTGCACCCTGCCCCACACACCGGACAGAAAGATGTGGGTGGTACACAGGACAGAAGGACCATCACCCAACCACCATTTTCCAGCTGTACGACCAGGGCAGGTTAGTGCTCTGAGCTTTGATGTTCATCAAAGAGATGTCATCGTAAGACAAGCAGTCCAGACTGCAGCTTGAAGTCTATTTTCAAGAAGATAAAATTGACAGAATCAACAGAAAGCCTGACTGCGTGACCATTTAATTGGGGAGACTTCCATCATTGGGGCAAAATCTGAACTGAAACAAAAGAAAAACAATTACAATTATAAATTCCAGGGAAAATAAAAATCTTTGCAAAAAAAAAAAAAAAAAAAGGAGAAATAATCATCGTACTCTATTTGGCTCAATCGTGTACAGTGTTTACAAAATCATGTTAATTTAAACGTTGAATAGTCTACCCATAATTCTGAAATGACTGTTTTGGGAAGATCGGGGAGTGCGAGGGCGGAGCAGTGTACTTGTGTTGAGAGTAGGGAGAGGCAATGGCAGTGAAAGAGCTAAACCCTCATCTTCCATAGCGACAAGGTACTTGATCATGTCTCAAGCTAAGATCGTGAGAAGTAGCTCTCTAAGTTCTGTAACTCTATGGAGGTAGAACGCTAATGGGTCAAGTTTGAAAGTTGCTGCTTTTGGGGAGGAAGTGGAAACAGGTGCTACTTATAAGCCTTGTAGAGCAGGAGAGCACAGGGGCTAGGAGCTCAGAGGCTGAATTTACCTTCCTAGGCCTAACCTCAATGCCAGCCCCACAGCAGAGAATCCCAGCATCGCACATAAACCAGGACATACATCCGTGCAGGCGTTTTCACACCCTGAACTACTAGGACAAAGACTCCACAGGATCGTTACATGGTCTTGCGGAAGCATGGGCAGAAACGTAATAACGGTAGGCAGCTTTTAGTGGAGTGCCTGGTGTGTGCGCCACACACGTTACTAGGCACTTTACTCTCAAATCCCCGCACGCAGGGTTTACAACTGAGGTCGGAAAAATTAAGTGAACTGCCCAAGGTCAGTGGTCGGCAAACTCATGAGTCAACAGAGCCAAATAGCAACAGCACAACGATTGAAATGTCTTTTGAGAGCCAAATTTTTTAAACTTAAACCTCTTCTAACGCCACTTCTTCAAAATAGACTCGCCCAGGCCGTGGTATTTTGTGGAAGAGCCACATTCAAGGGGCCAAAGAGCCGCATGTGGCTCGCGAGCAGCAGTTTGCCAACCACTGCCCTACGTCAACAATAACTAGTAAGTGAAAGAACCAGGACTGTGATTAGCATCTGGACTTCCTCCACACTGTTCTCACTATCAAATTAGCCAATCTGCCTAGATCTTGAGGCTCAGGGCTAACCCAGAACTCAATAAACAGCTGTTCCCTCTTTAACTGCATCTTAAAGGCAAGAACACCTGGCACCAGTGAGTAGGGACTCAGCCCTCACTGAACAAACCAGTTCCCCACACCCAGCGGACAGCCCCGGACCATGGCCACGAGCACCTGGGGCGAAGGGACAGCTGAAAGGCTGAGGTCACACCGACAAGCAAAGGCGCGGGTCAGGCAGGTTCACACCCAAGGGCAGCGGAGGGAAAGGCAGCCCTTACTTCCAGGAACACACACACAGGGGTTTGTACGCCAGTTACCCAGAGGGCATTAAAATACCTGGCCAGGTGAGAATGGGTCTTGCAGACTTATTTTGATTGGCTGGCCTTTTAAACACCAGAGGTTTACATATGAATCTGAACATCTGGCTTATTGACAAATCTGAAATCCTCCCTGGAGCGGACACAGCTAAGATGTAGCCAAGCAGTGAATGCTCCTTGAAACAGGGCACATTTTCCCAGCTCCCGAAGGCCCACTCAGCTTGTGTCCCTCCTGCCTGGCCCCTGCCTGGTGATTCCTGGTATGGGGGGGTGGTGGTGGTGGTGGTGGTGGTGGTGGTGGTGGTGGTGGGTGTGTGTGTGTGTGTGTGTGTGTGTGTGTGCGCGCGCGTGCGCGCGCGCGCGCACGCAGAGGGTTAGGAAGCTGCCGAGTCACGGCCAAGACCCACTCGCCCAGGATGCCTTCGTCCCAGCCGATCCCACGTAAGCAGGTCCCAGTGCTTGGGGTCATCTGTGGAGAGCAAACGGCTAAGAGGTAGCTAATGGCTTCCTGGAAGCCCTGCAGCGAAGGCCCCCACTCTGTGGGGCCCTTCGGAGGGTGTTGCTCCATGTCCTATTCTGACAGAATCCGCACAGAGGGGGACACAGCAAAGTGTCTGCAGGACAGGACATTTTCTTATCACTGCTGAATTCCAGCACACAGCACAGGGCAGGGCCTGCCATTCAACAGGCACTCAGCACATTTATACTTAACACCAGAAAAGCCCCTAAGGGGTTAATACCCAAAATATATACAGTACTCATACAACTCAACAAAAGGAAGACAATCCAATTAAAAAACGAGAAGACGTGAATAGACATTTCTCCAAAGAGGACATACAAATGGCGAGGAAACACATGAAAATATGCTCAAAGTAACTAATCAGATAGTCAGCACACGTCATAGCAAGCAATCAAACTCCTGATCTCCCAATCAAAATCCCAATGGGACATTTTGCATATTAGCCTTTTATATAGAGAGAAGATACGCACAGGCAACAGGGTGGTGAAGACCTAGAGGGGTAGGTTGGGGCTGGGGGGGGGGGGAGATATCTGTAATACTATAAACAATAAAAAATAGATATTTTAAAAGTTAATTAAAACATTTTAAAAAAGAAAACCAGAAAAGCCCAAATCATGGCTGTTGCCTCAAAGTTTAATTCCAATGTTTCACTTGCAAGCTTCCATTCCATGACTCCCTCAACTCCAGGCGGAAACCAGGGAGTTTGCGAGGGGGGAGAGGCGCTGACACCACACAGAGAAATTGGGGGGGGGGGGGGGGGGAGGGAGCTTCAGAGCTAGCTGCGATAGCTGGACAAGCAGTTCCCGAGCCTCTCTGTGCATTTCCTGGGGACAGCAACGGGGTTTCCGCACAGCCCGGATGAAGAGAGGACGCCAGAAGCATTCAGAACCGTGCGGCACACGTAAGAACTCAATCAGTGCCAGCAGCTGTCACCTCCCTCACTGCATCCCCCATGGGCCTGCAGCATCAGGATCATCCCCGTTCGGAGCAGCTCGCCCACAGCCAGCAGCAGGTGGGAAAGGGACCCGAACAAGGTCCGTCCCCCTGGGCCGGGCTCCAATCAGACGGCTGCCGCCCCCACCACCACCCTGCCCCCGCCGCCACCACCCTGCCCCCGCCGCTGGGGGTTCCGGGGTCCCAGGTGGCACTGGAGGCTGAGGCCTCCCCAGGTTACCCGGGAGGAAGGAGGGAGGCTGCTCCTCCGCTCCCCCACCTCAGCAGGCACGGCGTGGCCAAGCTGCTCGTCTCCAGCTTTGTAACATGGAGGCAACAGCACCGACCTCGGGGGGCGGGCTCCAGAAGCCAGCGCAGCCCCAGGCCTCCCCGTGACTAACCCCCGGGGCCGCCCTCACAAGGCTGGGACTCACCTGGCGCCTTCGCCCAGCTTCCCGTGCGTGTTGTAATTCACCGTCATGACCTTCACCGTGTCCTTGAACACCACGTCGCCCTGGCCCAGGTACTGCAGGGTGCGGCGAATCGGGAAGCGGCCTTTCATGGGCATGGTGGCTGCGGCGGTCGAGCCGCGGAGCAGGCGGCGAGGAGAGACCGGAGCTGCAGACGCCGCCGCCGGCGCACCCGGCACCGCCGCTCCTCCGCGCGGTTTCCACTTCCCGCGCAGACTCACAGGCACTCCTCCCGGCGGCCAACGCGCGTGCCGAAAGGCAGCCTGGGACTTGTAGTCCTGGGCTGTCGGTGATTTGAGTCGGGGTTGGGGGTGGGTGCACGTACAGATTCGCTTTAGAGCACCCTCCTCCCGAAATGTTTCGTTTTTTCTATGTACTCGCCTTCTCCCCCAGGAGGAAAAATGTTTTTAGGATCAAATCCAATCATTCAGACAACAAAGTTACAGCAGAAAATAAATCCGGAGAGCTGAGCTCCGATACCAAATCGAGGAATAACTTTCTGTTCAACCTCACGTCAGTCAGTTGTCTTTCTCTCAGCTTCTCCAATTTCAAAAGGAAGGGTTCGAACTGTGCAATATCTAACATTGACTTAAAATAACTGATTTGCAAAAGAAAAAAAGAAAAATACCCTTCCAGATTTAACCATTTAACAGCTCTGGACCTCAGTATTTTTCATAAGCCAAACGTTGATGACATGCAGTTCTGAAGTACTACTGTTATTGATCTGAGAACATTATTTCTCCTTCACTTTTAAAGGATAATTTTGCCAGATATAGGACTCTCTAGGTTCATTGGGGGGTGGGGGAGTGTCAATGCTTTAAATTTTTCACTCCACTGTCTTCTTGCATAGTTTCTAGCTGTAATTTTTATGTTTCTTTATAGGTAAAGTTGTTTTCTCTTCTAGCTTCTTTCAAGATTTTCTATCTTTGGATTTTGCAGTTCAAATAAGATTCACTTAGATGTAGATTTTTGGCATTTATGCTGCCTAGTATTCTATGAACTTCCTGGATCTGTGGTTACTGGGGACTGTCACTAATTTTGGAAAGTTCTTAGCTGTTATTGAAATATTTCTTCTTCATTCCCTCTTTTTTTCTCTCCTTCTAGTATCCCAATTTTACATCATTTGAAATTTTCCCAGAGTTCTTGGATTTTTTTTTTTCTTTTGCACTTCAGTAGGGAAGTTTCTGTTGACCTATCTTCATGCTCTCTGGTTCTTTCCCCAGCTGTGTCCAGTTTATTGTATTCTTTGTTGTTTTGTCTCCTCCCCCCTCCCCTAGCATTTCCTTTTGACTATTTTAGAGTTTTCTTATCTCTGCTTACATTACCCATCAGTTTTTGCATATTATTTACTTTTACCATTAGACTCCTTAACATAATGTTAAATTCCCTGACAACTCCAACACCTGTGTCATATCTGAACCTGATACTTTGTCTCAGATTATTTTTGTGGTATTTTTTGTTTTGTTTTTGCCTTTTTTAGCATGCTTGTCATTTTGGTTGAAAATTAGACAATATTGGGCATATTGGGTATAGTTACCAAGGTTAAAAAAAAGCCTGCAGCCCTCGCGGGTTTGGCTCAGGGGATAGAGCATTGGCCTGCAGACTGAAGGGTCCCAGGTTCAATTCTGGCTAGGGGCACGTGCCTAGGTTGTTGGCTTGATTCCCAGTGTGGGGCATGCATAGGCATCCTGTTGGTAATTCTCTCTCATCATTGATGTTTCTATCTCTCTAGCCCTTTCCTTTCCTCTCTGAAACCAATAATATATATATATATATATATATATATATATAAATTTTTTTTTTTTTTTTTTTTTTTTTTTTTTTAAAGCCTGAACTATGGCCGAAACCGGTTTGGCTCAGTGGATAGAGTGTCGGCTTGCGGACTGAAAGGTCCCAGGTTCGATTCTGGTCAAGGGCATGTACCTTGGTTGCGGGTGCATCCCCAGTCGGGGGTGTGCAGGAGGCAGCTGATAGATGTTTCTCTCTCATCGATGTTTCTGGCTCTCTTCCTCTCCGTGAAAAATAAATAAAATATATTTTAAAAAATAGCCTGCACAATGTGGGTTTATAATCTGACTTTGGTTTGAATCGTGTTTAATGTTTGCTGTAGCTGTAGGTCAAACATGTCAAATGCAAAGGCTAGCATGAGCCAAATAAACAAAGTTTACGTTTATGTGGGCCGCAAAAGCTTCAATTTTCATAGAAACATAGGTTTATTTCAATAGAGACATGTAGAGTACAAAGAATTGAAATAAATGAGTAATGGTTAACATAAAATAATAGGACATTTTAATAAAAATTAATATTTTTTTCTTGAACATTAACTTACCAGACACTGAATAACTGCACAAATTAATACACAGGAGCTGCCCCCTGGTGGTCAGTGTACATCATAACGAGCAGTTGAGCAGTCTTAGCATATTACGCTTTGATTGGTTGAACAGTCGACTGGTCACCAGATGATCGGACACTTAACATATTAAGCTTTTATTACATAGGCTATGTATATTTGGCCTTTGTTCCTCATTCCCAGCTGAGCTTCTAAAAGCCTGTCATTTTCTTAATGAGACAGAAGCATCTTTTATCATAATCTCTGGATTCAGCCCCTCTCCCTGAAATGGCTCTGGATAAAAGTGAAAGGAGCATCTTTTGTTATAACCATCCCCAGTTCACACACACCTGTTTATGCAAATGAAGTGACTTTTGGAAAGCCCAAGGGACCTGTTACCAGGAGAACCACATGACAAAGAGCATTGGAACACTCAGCCCCAGCAATTTGTCAAAATGTTCCTAACAGGGATGTTTCTAATGGCTTTGCTCCAAGTAAGCAGACCTCGGCTGTGACTCCGAACTTACCTCTTCCCAGATGCTGGAGTGGCCATTTGCCCTGCAAACTCAGTTCTCTGATGGGTCCAAGAAAAGTCAGTGCTTTTCAGTTTGTCCAGCTTTTTCTTGGAAGGACAGGAATGACTACTTCCAAACTCTGTGTGTGCCAGAGCTAAAGCCACAGGTTTGTTCTGGCGGATTTTTTTTATGGAGCGAGGCTACTGAAGAGTTTTTGGCAGAAAAGCTTTTGATCTTAAAGTCCACAGGGAACACTTCCTATGGAGGAAATACCCCATCCCACGTTAGAAACATGAGTGTCCATAGACAAGGCAGGCCAGGACAGTTTGGGTTTTGGAGTCATACAGACCTGGATTGGAATCCAAGTGGTATAACCCGGAGCCTGCTTAATCTCACCACACTCATTTTTTTCTTCTATAAACCGAGGTTGTTGGGAAGATTAAGTGAGGTAATACATGCATAACACCTAGCATTCTGTCTGGCCCACAGTGAACACTAGATATTATCTCCTCCTGGTTTAGTAATCTATACAAGTCTTAGAAAGTTCCATGTCAAAGGCTCAAGTGATATCAGTATCAGAATCCCACTCAGCAGCTCCAGGTATCCTGCCCATCCCTGCCACCTTTGGGACAGACACAATGCTTGTGCATTCCCACTGTGCCTGACCCAGGTCAAACCCTCCTCAGGGTAACGTGCGTCAGGCAGACCAGGCTTTAAATCCTCCTCATCCCAGCACTGACGGGCAGTGCGACCCCAGCCAGGCGAACCTCCTTCAACCTGTTTCTTCATTTGTCAGACGAATACCAGAGTAAGTACCACACAGGCCTGCTAGAAGACCGAAATGCAGGCTGTGTGAGTATGTAGCAGTGCCTGGAACAAATGGCAGCAGAAAGGTTCCTCAACCTGGGTAGGCCTGCTTCTTCTGTGGGGGTAATAGGATTGCAAAGGTTTACTCTATGCTTGTGTAGATGGTTCATCTAATTAACACTGCAGGAGTAACTGGGGGTAAGGGCAGAATTGGAACTCACACTTGATTCTGTCTGGAGGCCTTAAGCCAACAGGTGAAACAGGAGCTAGGGCTATCTTCTGATACTTGGGTCATGAACAAAGTGGGGAAGGTATGTTATCTGGCGACTCTCATGTAACATGCATGCATACATACATACACATCTCCAACCTCTGATATTTGTTATTTTATTTTTTTTAAAAAAAGGTTCCAATACCAGGCCCCAGTGCATGCAAATCAATATCTCCATCATTGTCAGATGACCAGCATAATCTGCTACCACAGACTCTAACCTGGCAAAGACCAGCTTCTCACTTTGAGTCCCAAGATAACTATGCAAATGTCCAACCTACCACATGCCTCATGGTGACCGGGTACATTTTAGTATCTGAACAGCAAAAACTCATTGAGTTACAAATACATTGAATAAGTATTCTTAGTGTATTAGACGGGAAAAATACAAACAAGGCATAAAAGGAGAAAGCCAAAGTCTCTCCCATATATGATGTTTTTGGGAGATCTACCAACACCGTATCAAGAACTTGCTCATTTTCTGATGAAGGACTGCAGGTGAAATATTCACATGAGTCAAGAACTTGAAGTTGTGATTATAATTCGTAGGCCATCTTTTCCCTGATGTTAACCCACCTATGTAAATCCTACTGCCTGCGTGTGTGAATTCTGGGAAATGGTGCTGCTGAGGATAGTGAATTCTAACTCCTATTATGTCTATGGTTATAGGGGAAGAGATACATGTAAGAATTAAATGACTCAAGGAAGCGGCCCTAACTGGTTTGGCTCAGTGGATAGAGCGTCAGCCTGCGGACTGAAAGGTCCCAGGTTCGATTCCAGTCAAGGGCATGTACCAGTAGGGGGTGTGCAGGAGGCAGCTGATAGATGTTTCTAACTTTCAATCCCTCTCCCTTCCTCTCTGTAAAAATAATAAAATATATTAAAAGAAAGAAAGAAAAGCATTCATGGAAGAGTATGGCCAGAAAGAATTCAGTCATATCAGAGGTTTAGTTTGATTTCGGATACTCAGTGTCTTTTGGGGGAGGGTTTGTATTTAGGTTTTTTAGTTTGTTTGTTTTTAAAATGTTTCCTACGTGTAGTTCTCAATGCTTAGTTACTTACATATTGCTACCTATGGTTGATTTCAAAGAAAGGGTATACTTAGTAAACTAGTCTCAATTGAAACCAGCAGCTAATTAAAAGAGAGACATTCTCAGAAGGAAAGGGATTATGATGGAAAGCAGCTTTGGCAGCATTTAGGAACTACCTGCTTTTTGGCAGAGCTGTCTCCTCCTCAGTCAGAGAGAAATGACAGACTGAGCAGGGAGGAGCATACAGCATCCATGAAGCCTCCAGAATTACAGCATGAAGG